CCTTCTTCCCCTCCACCCCTCCCCCCAAACTTCGGCTGCTATCTATGCTTACCCAGGTACATTGAACCATGATGAGAAAGAAGAGAGCACTTCAGCCACAGGCTGCAAGTTTTCCAACACACGTTCGGTATACAAAAAGAACCCTGATTTACATGTAAAAAGCTGATGTATAATCAAGATTCATACATTACTCAAAGAAAGTACTTATTGGACAAACCTCACTTCAATTTTGGGGAGTTTTAGAAGTCCGAGGAATAGAGCTGAAAAAAGTCTTTCATGTGTATACCTAAAAAAAAAAATCATAGAAAACCAGTCAGCCACAGACTGTAGCTATTGAGAAAACTTTTACATTAGGTTAGTTTTCTGAATGCGCTATCTTCCCTCTCCATACTTAGGGAATTGTTTAAGAATGTTCAAAATGGGAGGTAAAAATGATTCTTTTCTGCAAAGCAAAATGGGCTATTTGTTTTCATTGCTTAGTAATTGTAACATCTCGATATGAGATATGAATGTATTCATAAGCTTAAAACAACTTCTTCTATGGATAATATACATACTTTAAGTACTTTGACTTAATTGAACATAAGTCTTTTTAAAATTAAAGGTAGAAGTGTACATATAAAAATTATTTAAAACTAAAAGTATATTCTTAAGCAGTATGTATAAATATAACAGATTTTATTGTATTATCTAGTAACAAATCTGAAAGTGTTGCAGTAATTTATAAACTGAATGCTGACACAGGATAAGTGCCTTTCATTAGATTCTATATTGTATATACTTGTATATACATATTTTGCTAAGAAAACACACATTTTAAATGATAGTCACAGAACTAGCAAATGTGCCCGTAAGTAATCGGTTCTAAAGTCTTTATTGAATGTGTGTGTTTATATACAAATAATGAACCTGAACTGCACAAACATAGAAACAAAATTAAGAAATAAAATATCATGATTGAATTAAAGTGCAGGAAAAATTCAAGTTTAAAAGTTCAGGTAAAATCAGTGCCATTAATAAAGAAAAAAAAAAAGAAAAACAAAAAGAAAAAAAAAAGAAATTAACTTGCTTCCAAGAATCCTCCTTTGGATGTAGCTTTCCAGCATCACCTGCCATGCAAGTACCACCTCAGGCAAAAATCTTTGCATAAAGACAGATAAGGAACACAGCTATATATTACTATGTTTTATAACTGACTGTTTGCTGAAGAACAAATCACTGGAGATGCCTGTGGTGTAACACTTTCAGACTTATTTGGAATACACACATATTTACACATATCAACATTCAAAAGTTACAATTTGGCAGGACTAAAGTGAAGAAAAGCTTCTTCCGTTTACAGTTCCTAATGAGACACACTACATATAAACAGATAGGTAGCAGCAGTTTCTTACACTTCTGTCAAAAAAATAAAAAAGTAATAGCTCAATTGTATTTTATAGTTTTCCAGACACTCTAAAAAAGTTTCACACAACTAAAATTGCTAGCAAAAAAACCAGGGGTGTTTCCCCCTGAGGATTTCAATATACTTTGCTGTACAAAAGGTGCACCACCAATAGCAGAGTAAGATGCAATGATGAGCATACGATCAACTTCCTTCCACAGAGAAGGAAAGAATAACATTTTAGACTAAAATTGTACATAGCCCCTTTTATTGACCAAGAACCATTTGTGCATTCATCTCATGAGCAATCATTTCATTAATTTTCAAATCTAGAAGCATGCTCTGAACATACGCAACAGAAAAAAGATTCAACTATGATAAATTCCATAATACCAAGTAAACTCTTTTTGTACTGACAGATGGTCTCTCATTGCCTCGTATCTTTTATTTTTGCTTGCTGGTGGTTGTCAAATGTTTCTTAATGGGAACGTGAAGTACGCTTTCCTTTTAAGACAAGGTCATCTTCCATTGAGCTGATACCATGGTTTGCTGAAGAGTACTTTTGCCATCCTCTCCCTTAGAGCCTGACCAGACCAATTTTCCAGGATTCTGTTGCTCTGAAATATAGTTCATCTTCACCAGGTCAAATAATCAGTCATCTCAATTTATAAATGCGAGATAAGGGTACAAGCGCCAGCTAGGGTGTTTCATTTTTGGAAGTGGTATGGATAGCAGTTTACCTAGATTTCTTCTACCTGGGTTTTGAACAAAATGGTTTTAATTTAAACACACATTAATTAGACACTAAAAAAGAAATTAACAGGCAGGGGGAAAAATTCGATAGTAAGCTGAGTTAAGTAACGAGTTAACATTGCCTCAGTAGGTATGGGACAGAGCCATCAAGAAATCATAATGCTGCTTGTTCAAATTGTCACATCCTCATTTGTTAAGTTCTTTGAACAGTGGACATGGCATGCCCTTGTACTGGCAAGAGAATTCACTTGTCTTCTTTAAATTAAATGTTGCTATACATAAAATCAGAAAATCTATTAATTTGTGCTACAAAGCCCCCAAATATTTCCCTTTCATTTGAAAAATGGATTAAGAATCACCAGTAACTTCAATATTTTGCATCCTTTAAGTGTTTTGTAAGGTTGCCTAACCTATGTACCTGCAATGCCACTTTACAGTACAAACATGACCAAGTTTTGTTTTGGGAATATTTGGAAAGTGTGTGCAAAAAACACAGAGCACGATGCTTGATGAAGCAAACCCAAATGATTAATTTCAGACACTGTAGACCTATCAGCTTCAAAGTACTCCCTTTTATAAAATGAAACCAGTCAGTAACTGCTCCTGCTTTGAGGAAAAAACTCCAAATTAATTTTTGAAATGCAAATGTTTGTTTTAAGGAATTCTCTTTTTAAAAGAGCTTGGGTCATTCCCACTGTTACAGCTTTAGTGCAGCAGCCATTGACAAGTTAGCTCAGCTATATTATTTATCTCACTCAAACTGAACATTATATCACCAGTTCCTGAAGTTTTAGTGCACACTTACTACTGCCCACATTATTGACAACACCACTTTAGAGACTAAACCCAAACTTTAGGCCAACTGCCTTCAGTGCTAGGTGGGGCTAAGATAGGTACTTGTAAAGTAACTCTACTAGCAGATTTTAGAAATTTGCTAAACAATATACTGACAATTATTAAATATTAGATGCTTGCCATTATTCATGCATCATCACCTCCACAGAGTGTAAAACTGTTTGAAAACCTGAGTCCAAGATTATCTGATTTCATAGTAAAGGACTAAAGGGGCATCTAGAACTTGAGTTTTGAGTAAAGCTATCTTGGCTATTTTAATTAATGGCTGTAGAGACACATTCTCTTAAATACTTATAAAAATTCACAGCATGAATGGAACCCACAGCCAATTCTAAATGTTATACAAACTAAACTATTTTTGGCAAAAATAATATTTAACTGAACAGAAGTTGAAGTATTCTTACCCCACAATGAAGGTGTTACCACATTTCACATTGCACGGCCATAACACAAAGAAAACTCCCAGCATGATACATTCCAGTCATATTATTCACTTGACTTTTTTAATGCAAAAAATTGTGTACTCTTTTCTTTTGCACTTCACAGAATACGATGTGAATACAAGAATACCAGATCAGGGGTCCAAGAAAAGACGATGCACACATCAACTATGTATACAATTTTCAACATGAAATCTTCCAAGCTTCCAGCTTTTTCTGATGAAAGAAGTGACAGCAAACTTCAACTCTTCTTCAACAATAATGGTAAATATAGAGTCCTAGAGAGGGTAAGTGTAAGTCAGCTATCATCCAGCAAGACAAACAAATTTATTCCAGCTCTTGGACCCCTGTTTTATTGCCTCTCCTCACAGGAGGGTATAACACTGGCAGCAATTACAACAGCACAAAAACTTTTGGCATATGAAATATTAACACAGGACTGACCCTGCAGTGCCCCTGCCCATCTCACACTACGTTTTCCCTTTACTCTTTTTCCCACATGTTCTAGTTACCTTCTCTGTTCCAACTCAGCTAACCAACAGCTAAGAAACACTCAAGTTTGTTTTTTTTAGTGTGTTTCTTTTAAATATAAAGCTCCTCAGTTAAAGCCACGACTGAGGTAAAACAGTGTGTGATTTGTGCTAGGAAACAACAGTATCCAATGGTGAATACTCCAAACTTCAACGGTCCTGCCAAAATTAATGAAAAAACAAGATTTTTTTCATCAAGACAAAATTAAACAGATGTAATTGATGAGCATCATCAGAATTGGTACCACTTCTTGTCTTTGTACTTCAACATCATCTAAAAAAACCAAAAAAACAAAAACAACAAAAAAATTAATTACTGTTTCTATAATGTACCAAAAAGTACAATACTACAAACAAATTATATGCGTTCAAGTCAGTATGAGAAAGAGGGACTTTAATAAAGCTTTCCTCAACTACTACAACAACAACAACAACAACAACAACAACAACAACAACAACAACAACAACAACAACAACAACAACAACAACAACAACAACAACATTGCCGAACAGTTGGGGTTTAGCATGGTAAGTTTTCTAATGGTAGCATCACTGCTGATGATCTACCCTCAGATAGAAAGACATTTTTTGGGAGAATGGGAATTGGCACAGGAGTTAGGAATGGAAAGAGGTCTGCATAAACATGGAAGAGAACAGCCATCCTACATGGTTACTGCAGAAAAAAAAATAGCTTGGATTCATGAGGTTTGCATACAACAATCGGATCTTTCTTAAGAACTTCAGGAAACTCACACAGAGCATTACTATTAGCTAATTCAGTGACAAATTCTTTAATTAATGGGAACTGAACCACACTTTAAGAAGTCAACATGCCGCTCAGGCAGAGGGTATGCTCTCAACCAACGTGCCATAAGACAAAGCTGCCTATACTAATACTTATTAGGAGTAATGATTGATAGAGAGAAATGAAGCGCCCTTTATCAGTGATACCGCTTTCCCTTTAGATACCTCTAACGTGGCTTTGCAGGAGTCAGATACTTGCAAGTCCTGCATGTGTTTGCTAGAGAACCAGTCTAATGCTCTCAGTTTAATGTGGAACAGACTCACCTCATGAGCGTGTTTAGAGAAGGAATCAGCACTGTAAAGCATAGCTGCAGTTTTTTCCTCCAGTTCTCCTAGTTTCTGTCCTCTTTCATCCAGTGCCAAACGGGCTCGTGCTAGTTCACCAACTACACCAGATGCTGCTCCTTTGACACCTTCAATACCCCCAGGCCCTGGAATATGCTGGGCAAGACTTCTTGATGCCTTCCCAGATGCTGACTCTCCAACTGGAGGCATTTGCAAAACAACAAAAACAGAACAGTAATGTTTTCTATCATTATTAGATAAATACCAATGTAACTAGTTTACGAAGAGGTGTCATTTCTTTGCATGGACACTGAATACCTAATCACAGGCTTAACTATGAGCAATACTCACTACTCAATGTTACTAGATATTGCTATTAAATAAAATTGAGATTTTTTTTTCAAACATGTTTAAGAGTTTCCAAGCAGGTTATAAAATTATATAACCTTTTCACAGCTTGAGTGTGAAATTAAAACTCTCTTAACAGTGCTGGCACCACAGTCATCAACAGAAGCATGCTGGTGAAGTATTTTTTAGCAATGCAGCTTGCTTGGGAGTAGGAAGTTCAGCAGAGAAAACAGGAGAATTTTGAAAAAACAAGCTGTGGTCAGTTCTGTCAGTGCTTTGCTGGTGTAGCCAGCCAGTATGACTCCACTAGCAGAAGTTTCCTTTGATGGATGTTCAGTTTTAGATGCAGACACCTGAATATTAGGTGTCTGGCCTCTCACTGTAAAAATCTTGTGGGGGGAAAATAATGTAAATCATGAAAAGGCAGTCCAACAAATCAGCTCATCCTTAAGTCACCCATAAATGGTCACCTGAACAGTTCTCTAGACCTCAGTGACTGCACTGACTACATCCCTTTTACTCATAATGGGGCATCAGCCACCCAGTTCGGTCTAGACAATTAATGGACATGTAAATCTCATACTGAATGCTATAAGCCACAAAAAATTGAGTGAAAGCAAAAGCATTTTTATTTGCTTTCACTTCGGCATCCAATCTTGAAATCATAATTTCATAGTTTTTAAAAAATGTAAACACTTTCTTTTTTCACCTCTAGGAAAAAGAATATTAACTTATTTAACAAGTTTTGTTGTAGTATTTCAAGATCTACTGATTTTATGTTAAGCTTATAGGAAAAACAATACAGATTTCAACTAACACTACAAACAGCCTTCTATGAATTCCCAAGAATAAAAAAAAATAAATCACTTCACTTATTACAGACCCTGCTGTGACCCTCATGCTAAATATGACAATTTTAAAGACATTTTCATATGTCTTTTGAATTATCATTGAACTCATTTTCAGGCTACAATTGAGTAGGCTTTTTTCTCCCATTCAATACTATTTTCCTCTGAAGATCTGAGTCAAAACTTGATGGTGGAAACTTGAAATGATGTAAAAAGATAGCTTCTAAAGTTATAAAAGTGCTTTTCTGGTGCCATGAGAAGGCTTTTTTCCATCTCAAGTCATACTAATTAAACATATAATTTGTGCACACAAAATTCCTCTAGTAGAGTACTTGACCAACTTTTCGAAGTATTACACATACATAAATAGAACTGGAATTTTTAACTCAGCAAGTAACCTCTAAATATTTGATATTTGTTCAAAATGCACAGGCACAAGTAGTAAAGACCTATTTAATTTTTACCAGATAGATCAAAAGGACTAAAAAAAAAAAAGGAATGCCAGGGAGCCTTATCCATTTCAGCAGCTATGTTTCATGTTAAAAAGGAAGCAGTTCTTCTTAGAAATAAACTTGCATAATACAGAGTTTCATCTAGCAAGTATCTGAAGAAATGGAGGTTATTTTCCTTAAATATATTAAAGTGCTGCACACTACCACAGTAAAAGAAATAAAGCTGTAATCAAAATACAATGAGAAAATATTAAAGCAACAAAAATGTTGCCAAATTTTAATTTTACTGTTCTATGAACCGATGACTTAATTGAACTATCATACAGTTCTGTCCTTGCTCTCATTTCTAAAGCATCTCTGCACAAGTCAAATGAGGAAAAACAATCTAGCAAATGAAATGAAGTAGAATGGAGTTTTAATTTTCTCACTGTCCAGAATAGTGTTCTCCAGAACCAGCCCTTTTCAGTTTAACCACATTAGGTAAATCATGGTCAGTACTACACAAAGATGATACCACACAAAGATGAGTAAGAATAAGATCAGTTGTCCCATTTCTTGTTTTATAATCAACTTCTGAATAAATGAGTGAAAGGAGCCTGTAAGAAAACAGTACCAAGTTTGTCTGATCTTGTTGGTAAGTTGCACTGCACATTAAAAAGCTATGAAAAGTTATTTTTCATTCCCTTTGCAGGTGTCATGTACTATCAACACAGGTACTATATTTCTCAAGGATCACTGGCTTCCTTGGGTAGAAATACCAGAAAAATAACAAATACTAAAAACTTACAGAGTTCTTCTCTGTCAAGTGACTGTGCTCCACCTCCAAACAGGCCTTTAAAGAACCCCCTGTTCGGTGCTTCTGGTGTTTCTACAGGAGTGAAGAGCTCACCCAACATTTCCTTTGCAATGAAGAAAAGACACAAGGCACGTATTGCACACACAAATTAATGGAATATTCTCTCTCTTCAAGGATTTAGTTCATGGATTTGAATTTCAAAATGAATATGCTTTAAAAGGCATCTGCCTTTGCAAGGAGACTTAGGAAATAAAAAAATAAAAACATACCAGGAAAGCTGTCCAAGCCATCTGTTCTGATAGTCACAGGCTTATAGCTCATGAAATTCAGCAGCAAAAGAAATGGGTTCGAGAAAAGCTGTATTTGCCCCTCAACAACTTGGGCAACACTCCTGATTTTGTTCTGTTGAAACTGTATCTACAAATACTCATATCCATGCTTGATATGAAAGTAGAGCTTATAGCCTGCATCTCTACTATCTCAGTATTCTACCCAACTTCAAAGCTGAAGCATGGCTGAGAATCTTTCCAAGCTGTTAATACCCCCGAAACATAACAGCTTCCTTCAACTATCCCAAGTTAGCAATCCCCACTTATGTCAGCATGCATCTCCACCAGCATCAATTGAACATGGGAGTTTTGTTAACTACACATGTTAAACAAGGAAAATGCTTATCAATCAAAAAGGAAATTAACAAACTCTTTCAAATATAAGAGGATAGATGAAATAGTAAAATTTAAGAGTAGAAGTGATTCATCCTGAATCAGACTCTACAGCGAGAAAAATCAAAGCATGAAAGTCAGAGTGCTCAGCTTTATGACAAACTTAATTACTGTAAGCATCATGAATGCTAGAACTGAGAACCTCCAAGTGTATCTATGTCAGAAAACAGTAATAATTCTTATTTTTTAAAATTCATTACCTGCAGATTTTCACACGTTTCTTGACTGTAGGTGAGCCTCTGTATTTCAGTTGGTGAGACCAGATAGAGTGCTTGTCCATTATTGGTGAAGCAGAATGTTCTGGCTATCCGCATATTGGTGAGTGGCAGATAATATACATCCAACAATGGCCTTAAACTTGGCAAACTTAACAAAAAGAATTAAAAAACCCATTAAATATAGCAGAGTTGTCTACTATTAATCAAGTGGCTGATTTTTAAACTGCAATGTGTTATTTTTCTCTTCACCATCTGCATAAGTACCACATAAACAGCATGTCATTTAATGCAATTACAAAATCTCCAAACATAAATACGAGATCTTTTTCAAGGTAGCACCTCAAAACTGAAATTTAAACATCTCCATCACAGATGTGTTTAAAAGCATAATTTAAATTATACTCTTAGTCACAGATTCACTTAAAGCATTATTCAGTAACTACTACCAAAATATTTTGATAAGTATCTGCTAAAAGTTTACAATTAAACATCCTGCCTCTTAGGTGAAGAATTTTTCCTTGACTTAAAATACAAGTCTAACTAAAAGACATCTCCTCAAGAACACTCAAAAATATGCAGGGTTGTGCTTTCAAAGGAAAACAGAATTCAGTAGCCTCAAATCTTATGAATTATGTCCACCTTTTTTGTTTGACTGTATATTTAAGAGAAAGTCCTCTTCGAGCAAAGTGTGCTTATCTTGTATTTTCTGCTTCTGCATACGTAACTGCAGTACTTACTGCATCAAGCTACTGAAGAACAGATGCACCATGCTCAGACTGTAACAATGCTCTTGCTACCGAACATTCCTCTCCCTCAAAGTAATAATAAATGCAAGTAAGAAGTGACTGAACACGATGTCTTGATAAATAGAACCCAAAATAAACTGATCTCAAAAACATCTGCTGTGAAATTTTATAAAAACTTAAATCACACAAGATGTTAGCTGCAAATGTACCAACAATATGTTAAGCAGCTTCTGTTGCAGATACTATCTGCATAAGATTATTATTTCTAGAAAAGAAAAAGCAGTAAAGGGGCAAAGTGAAGCCAAAAGCAATGAAAAAGATATAGTAACTGCCACAGTATGTGTTGGGGTTTCTTTGTTTTTTGTTGGTTTTTTTTTTTTAAATGGCACACATTTCTAAATGTTACGCTTGCAATTTACAGACTGGATTCTCTCTCAGCAGGAGACTTCATTATGAAAAAAGAAAGAATAGGCAACATGACTTTGGAGGCAAGTTCTACTAGGTGAGGAAAAAAAACAACCCCACAAAGCAATATTCTCTTGTCATCACATCACCCAGAAACGACAATTCTGCCATGCACATATCTAAACCTAGATTATTCCTAGGAGTAAGTTAGTAACAGGGAAGTCCTTTGCTTCAGACTGGTGGAAGCACAAAACAGCCTTATAGCTTCAAGACAAAACACAAAAATATTTGATAGGACAAGCATGACATCCAGGTAGCATTTTCAGAGTTATCAAACAAATATGTAACAGAATTTTAAGTCCTATCTAAATTTTTATCAGTAGATAAGTATTACGCATCTTTGATATGATACAATGCTTTGACAACTTTACACAAAGCACATCAAGTCCACTTCCCAGTAGCAATTCATGGTTATGAAATGGAGTTAATACTCGGGAATTCAACTTCCCTATACAAGGATAAATTCAATATTTGTAATTTAGCACCTACCTCTATGCAAAGTTCTTTAGAAAACAAAGTGAATCCTGAGGAAAACAGGATTTGTTAGAATATATGGTACCTGAACATTATTAAATTAAGTTTTAATTAGGAAAAAAACAGTGCTTGCCCTGCAAGGTGAGCAGCATTTTCTAGAGATGCTTAGAATATGTTAGGATATAGACTAATGGAGTTAACAGGACTACAATCAAAACTTAGTTTTTAATTGTAGTATACATCAGATCAGCTTTAGTTTTATTCCTAAAAACTTCCTGAAGAAGTGCCTTTTTAGAGAATTTCTCAAGCTGAAAGCTTGTTTTTACAACCTTAAAAATAACCTTTTAGGAATTTTATTGGTGCAATTTTATAATGCCACGTTCCACATTCATCTTGGCATTAGCCATGACTAAAATGTAGATGCAAGGATATAGATATATACAACTGCTCTTCAGAATAAAATAGCATTTGAAAATACTCACAAGAGGACATAGGTGACATGTAAGCAGATTCAAACATCAATTTTATGCATGTTTAAACTCATAACATAAACCCCTTTAGATGACTTACTACTACAATCACTACCAATTAATCTTGCCTTTACAGTATAAGTTTAAGGCCTTTAAGACATGAGCAAGCTACAGAACAAAAAAGTAAGCTTAAAGCACAAGTGTAATGCAAACAGCTGCTCAAAAATATTCAGAGTTGTGTCCAGGTACCAGCTGAAGATCTGAATCAAGGCAGTTTTCTCCATGAGGGAGTAACTTCACATTTGAGAAGTTTTATAAACTCAAGGACTTGTATCACATGTTTGAAACTATTTGATGATTAAGGGTAACTTGAACTAAACAGGCAAACTTTCACATGCATAACTAATAGGAAGGCATAATAAAAATTATCCAGCCTCAAGTGATAGAGATGCTTCAATAGTGAGTGAGCGTAGATTTGTTTCATTCATATTCCTATAGAAAAGAAAAAACTTTTTATCCAGAAAACTCTTTTTTCTTTTTATATTTAAGTTATTATCAAACAGGTCTTACCTAAAAGTCATAATATGTCCATTGGCACAGAAACATGCAAGGCAGATACTGTTATTCAATGACACTATATCTCCACGAAGAACAAAAGAAGTCTCTGTTATGTTTTGCTTATAAATACAGTTCTGGGATGGCAGTGAGATAACTTTCGCTTGCTTTTCAGAACATATCACTGCATATTGGTTTTCGCTGATTTCCTGAGAGGAAGATGGGGACACTGAGACAGGTCGTCGCTTCTTTGATTTATCTTTCTCATCTTTATCTTCAGGAACATTGTGTTCTCTCCAGGGCTCATGTGCTGGTGGGACCAAAGACCCTGTGGTATCCAGAAAAGCCATTCTCAAGATTGCCCCTTTTAGCCTCAGGATGGTTCCTAGGAAACAGAAGTTGAGCACATTTCTAAAACAGTTCTCCTAAATTTCCTTTCAAGCTACAAAATATTTCTTTAAGAAGCTAGTAAAATGAAAGCTAAACAACAATTTAGGCTTGCCTGCATGGCAAACCAAACTTACAAAAACCTCTGGACTGAAATCCAAAGGTTAATCTGAAAACTAATGAAGCATGTGCAAGAGCATATATGTATTCAAGAAAGTGTTAAGACAGTTCTCAGGAGTTAAGTGTATGCATACTCTTCAATGGAAATGTATACATTAAGAGAGCCAAGCTGGAATCCACATTTGTATTCAAGTTCAGCGTCACTGAATGAATTTCATTCTCTCCTCAGGAGTACGCAATATGCTTAGTATCTGCAATATATGCTATCAGTCAGAGGTAAGCACTACCTCTTTCTACATTGCAGACAGGTTCAGAAACGAGTAACTTTTTTTTCCTCCCTGCAGTTCACACTTGAATCCACTTCTCTTTTGTATAAAATGAGGAAAAGTTTTCCCTCCTCACTGCTTAAATCACTGTGTGCCAGATCTTAGGCTAATACATATCTTATTTTACTTACATTTATTCACATGCAAGTGAAAACATGAACATTTGCTAAGACAAGAAAAATCAAACACATGGCAGTATTGTTTAAGGTTCATGCTGCAGATCCAGTGATTAAACATGCTGTCCAGCCTGCAGCCTTGTCATGTTACCAAACCTGAATACTGCTGCCAAAACCATACTTGATAAGCACAAATCAAATACGGTCTAGAGGTCACACTATTCCAAATCAGTATCTTAATCAAATAGCTTTGCAATTTGCATGTCCTGATACCATCTCTATGAGCAAAGTTGAGCAGTGAGACAGTGGTAGCAGGAAAGCCAAGTCTATGCCTAACAGCATATTCAGCAAACCATTAATACATAATCATAAAAAAATCAGTTGCTGTGTATCAGAAAAACAAGATACAAGACTTCTCACAACAATCCAAAGGAATATATTGTCACTAATATTTGAAGCTAGTTGTTCAATATGCAATCCTTAATTTGTATTCCCTTTTTATGATGTAAGAAAACTGAAAGTTTCTCACCTCATAACTGCAAAAAATAAATTTAACATTTTAAATACTCTGCTCTCTCTGTTTAATGACTGCCATGTACTACAATAAGGTTAGGAAGAATGTTTTTCACAGTAAGTATACATTAAAGTGCTATTTTTATATTATATGAGATATTTTCAACTTTACAACTTTGAAACTCTGGTAATGAAGTAACCAATCTAGACTGTTAAATTTAGTAGCTAGATCAAAGAAGTATGTATTGATTTCCAATTAATTTAGAAGAGGTAAAAACAGTTTCTTAAAAAACCAAAACTGAACAACATTACTTTAACCCATCTGCTTTGTACATACCGCTAGGAGAAACAATTACTGGCTGAAGAAGTCTCTGCTCTCCTCCAGGGGGTAAGTTCAGCACAATGACAAGCACTGTACCCAGCGTGGTCCCGACCCACAGGCATGGGGAAGGTGATGTATCAGCCTTCCTTGTGAAAGTCTCACAAAAATGAAGAGCTGAAATTGCCTCGCGTGTCTCTTTATCAATGCTAGTTACACTAGAACTCCGGGATCGACTGAAAGAGTTGTCTTTGACATCTGAAAATGAATCAGTATTAATTAAAAAGAATGGCAAAATGCAGGCATTAAGTGAACTAAGATTTTCTTTTTTGTTCTTTGACATATAGTTTATACTTCCATTCTATGAATTATTACTCCTGTATTCTTCCTTAGTCCTATTTCCTTTCAGTCCAGTTTTCAACACCATATCCTGAACAAAGTAACCAATCTTTTTTTGCGAGGTTGCCATTAGGTAATTGTCATGAACAACTGTTATGCATATTTGTGTCTTCTTGGGACAGAGACTAACAGCCAAACAGGACTCCTCCTTAGAAAAAAAAAATTCAAACATCTCTGCCCATGTTCATTGATCAGATTAAAAAATACTGGCTTCCATGGAACACGGTTTAGCAATCTTGTGAAGATGCAACTATTTTAGTTTAAGAACTGCAGTGACATCCAGACAGCATGAGAACACGTAACCTGTAATGACTCACAATTATATTGTTCCACTTCAGGAAACTGTATGGAAGAGGTTTAACAGGCTATTTACACACAAACACACACACACACACACACACACTTTTAGTAAGAGAAACATCAATTGTTACCAAAGGCCACCTGGCACTGGTATGCAAAGCTGAAGATTTCCTTTTTGAATACTGTACAAAATGCCACAAAAACTTTTCATAACATCTTGCTTATTGCGCAGCAGATAAGGTTCTCATAACAGAGTGAATTCTAATACTAACAAAAGCCTTGAACCAGTAAACGTGCTGCTCCATTCTAGCTGTGTTCTGTCTGTACACGTGGTGATCCTTAACACATCAGCACATCTGAATTTATCTGTGCATTCACAAATTAATGCTTTAATTTCTTAACTCTTCATTCCAAAATTTTAGCACAAGACAACCCTTAGTAGTAAAAGCTTGATACAATTTACATAATTACTTTTAAAAAAAGCTATTGTTTTACATCTGTGGGTAGGGTATAGATGCAATGGTCATCTTTAAAGCAGGATTAAGAGTTAAAGAGAAACATTTAACCACACACTTTCTGGAAGCATCACTATATTAATTTCACTAAATCATTGCAAAACTTTCTACAAAGAGCATCTAACATGCATTTGAAAAGCACAGCAACTAGATTTCCACTGACTAAACACAGACATCTACTCAACACAAACTGAATTTTCTCAGGAGACATTTGTCTCATTCCAACAAAAATAAAGAAATTATTGTTCTGCCAAATTTTAGCTAAGTCAAATGTAAAGCATGGATTATAAAAAGAAACTAGGTCAACCACTCAGATGTTGACATTTTAAGTTTTCACATTTATAAAGATGAATCCAGAGTAAAAGAATGAAAGCAATTACTTGTTTTTATAATTCTTCTAATGACCACAACCTCTTAAGATACTTGTTTTCTTCAGGTCTGAATATTTAGTAACTTAATGTTTTTTCAACTCTTAACATGGATTAATCAGTCTGAATATAATCATTTATTAACTGCAACAGGCATAAAATTAAATGTGCATTTATTAAACTGCATCTGGTTAAGTATTTGAAAAGCACGTGTACACATTCCAGAAGCATTGTAGAGGACAGGAAAAACCCCATACAAATTAACGTGCCAGACAATACAGGCATTGTCGAAGGTGGACAACTCCTTCAGGACAGAGAACTGGGGGTAAAGACTTTAACTGCACTAGTGCATATTATTTATCCTGAAGTAAGGGAAGAATCTATGGTTTGTTAATGGATTAGTTTCAGATGAAGAGGAAGGAACAACAGTGTGATGACTCACTATACACCACTTCAGAAGGATGGAAAGATGAGGCTCTTTTGAGTCACTAAACCAAAGGACAGGACCTAGTGGCAATGGTACCTTAATCCTGTGGACTGCAACACTGAAAAACAATGGTATAATGCAGACTAGAGTATGTTCAAGATAACTTCTGTTTTAGAAAGTGGAGCATAAATACAGAAGCACATACTTCAGATTGTGTTTTTTAGGGAGAAAAGGAGTAGGTTAAAGATTTATAGAGAGAAAAGTAATTTGAGAGAATGAGATCATGGAAGAGTAGGTTTCAAGAAGCCATGGAAAGAATGGAGAGAAAATGGCAAGGATAATGAACCTGGGAGAAAGGCATTTCAGCTGTCTCCTAGAGCCAGTAGATATGGCCACATAAATGACAAAAAAAATCCAACCAAGCAAGCTGACAATCTGAAGAACACTATGCAAAAGCTATCATGCTAAGAGGAAAGATACAAGTAAAATAAAAAAGATTATAATTGCCTAAGGGAGTTATTCACAGATCTGAAAACCTAGAAGAATTTTACACAAAAGAAAATGAGGCATCTAAGTGCAGATATCATCACTGCAAAGTCAAACAAAACCAGTCAAAGGCTATTAGAATTCAGGAGTATAAACTATTTTATGAGTATACCAGAAGTGAGATGGCAAAAAACCCCCACCATTATTTCAGTAGGAAGAACAGCAAATATTAGATGTTGAAAATGCTTGAACTCTCTCAGGATTGGAAAATACTAAAAGAAATTCAATATTCTCTTTTCTCCAGTTTTCATAAAACAAAGAAAACTTCTAAGTACTTCTTGCTATCAAAGAACAGGGAGTAAAACAATAGAATTGAATATCAAATGAATCTGATAATATTTAAGTACAAATGTGGTCCAGTATTACTAAGTACGATAAAATTCACCCTAAACTGAAGTTATCCCTAAACCATTAGGTAAACATAGTAAAGAAGAACAGACACAGACTGAAAAAAAAAAAAAAATCAATTTTTTTCTGCTTTTTCATGCCAACAAGGCCACAGTTAAATCTCTCTAGTTCTGGGCACAAGTTTTAGAAAGAGGAGAAAAAATTCCAAGTCAAAGGAAATTAATAGATTTAGACATCCTAGATTTAGACAACACAACGCAAAAAAAGGAGAAGGAACTGAACTTTATAAAAAAAAAAAATCTGCAAAAGTGAAGATTAGCCATACAATGACAGCTTTCAACAGCACAAAAGATGACTAACAAAAAGATAGGGAGCACTCGTTGTCACTGTTCGTTGTGGAAAGGACAAGAAAAAATATGGAAGCAAGGAAGACTGATTAACAGGAATTTTTTTAGTATAAGACATTGGAACTTTCTGTCTGGGATTTTTCTAAAAACTTAATTTATTGGAGGCTTATGAATAGATGAGAGGTTAAGTTGTCAGACATGTGGATCCTTGCCATAGCAATGGATTAAAGGATCTCTGAGGGTTCCTTCCAGCTTCACTTTTCTGAGTGGAGCATGCTGTAATTGTTAATTGTAAGCCAGAGTGTTTCGGCGCAGTTTCAGGATATCCCAGTCCCATGGACTCTTCCCCTTGATGACAGCAGCAGTTGTCAAATACAGAGTTCTGCAGCTGCCAGTCTGATCCTAGTCTGTCTTCTACTGGGGCTGTGGTAGCGATTCTGCAGCAGGAGGGCAAGAGAGCTGTGGCCAGCAGAAGGCACCCCTCATATCAAGGCTGCAGCTACTGCTGTAGATCTACAGCTGTCCCCCGTTGTCTTTAGAGAACAAGGCAGGGCAGCTAGATTTGATCTGCAAGCTGGCAAAGCACTAAAAAAAAAAATAAATCTACTCATTTGTATGCTGTTTCAGTTATGCTATATAATGACCTTTAGTACTACGGACTTCACAACTGAACTGCTTCTTATGTAAATAGGTATTGTGCTTTTTCAAGAAAAATGAAATCCTCAGACTGGTCATCCATCCAAATAGCTGCATATTATTTTCATTTAGAGAGAGTGGTCACAAGATAATTAACATTTGAAAAATGGTGTCCAACTTTTTGTTCAGTGGACCTCAGCATATCCTGCTATTCTTAAGATATTTAATTTTTCAATTTAAAATGTATCAGATGCTGCCTGAACAGGCAGCCGTTTTCCTTCCATTACCTGCTTATTCGCACTTTTGCTATCACAGCACTACTGATAGAGTGAGTGACAGATGCCTAAAAATTATGACTAAAGTGCGATAAGCCATGTACAAGATTTGCAGGCTTACCTTATGATGACAGCAATGACATTTTGTGCCCGATAGCCCCCAAAAAGAGTGGAATTAAAATTTTAGTTCTACACTTCAGATAAATGCAAAAAAAGTCATGATAGTTTACAAGATTTACGACTCTTACTTTAACATACTTGCATTTTGTAAAACAGTTTTAGTAAAAATAAGATCAACTATGTAAACTTACCTAAATCAGGCTTTAACTCAGTTGGCAAACTTAGCTTCCTGGACATCTTTGCTGAAAAGTGAAGTATATCTTTTTTTTAAAGAGAATAAACATGATTCTGCTGGCCTTTATTTGCCTCTTTCCCAATATTTAATGTATCATTGTTTATTACATTAATTGCAGTACTTAACAGGATTTCTACTAAAGCAGAGCCTCACTTCCACATGGGAAAGGTGCAAAGTGAAATATGGAAAATACCAAAATCCCCAAATACAGCATTTTATGACTTCTGCCAAACTTCATTCCTCCTCAGGCTTCAGGCAGAACTTGGATTGGATGAATTTTGCTTTGGCTCAAGTTTTATCTCCTTAGCTGAGAGGACAGAATACAGACTCTTGGCTATTCACTGAAGTTTACATAAAGTTAACATCTCACCCTCTCCTTCTGCCTACTTCCTGATCCAACCAGATATATTTAAAGTAGAGAAACGATGAACTTTTAATTATGCTAAAGTATTAATGCATATTAACATTTAGTAAAAAGACAGTAATCTGAGATACAATCTGTAAACTGAGAAGAATGAAGACATTAGAAAGAATAATTATAAAATCAGCAAACACTTGCAACATTGTCAAACAAAAAAGTAGCACTTGAACGCATTCTGACTTGGAAAATTCTCTTTATAGGAATGGAAATCTTGCAATCTGTTTAAAATGCAGTACAATACTACCAGACGCTGCTATAACAAGTCACTGGTAAACCAGTATCCATACCTCCCTCTTCCATCTTTCTTTCAACTATTACTGGAGAAGGAATGATTTTGATGTAGCTTAACCACTAGACCAGGGCCAGACTCTGAATTTATTTCCCAGCCACATGCTTGAATTTTCATATATAATTTAGTTCTTCACTATCTTGTAAGGGTAATACTTATCCACCTAAAGTAGATGTTGAGAACAATTTCATAGTTCTAGGAGTACCTTATAATGGATACCAGTCATATAGCAGTCTGAAACTTGTTCCTTCTCTTAGCTAAAAACTGGGTCAACTCATTATAATTAAGAGAAATCATTCAGTTTTCTATGTATCCTGAAGAACAGCATGTGATTTAAAAGTTACTTCCACTCCTTCAAGAACTGAAATACTTCATTGTACCATCAATTATGCTCTTCAATATTGCAAGTGCTAGTTATCTGAACAGTTGGAACAGTTTTATTCATGTCATACATTATAAAAATTTAAGAATAAGACTCCAGAAATAATCTTCTAATTTCCTTCATGTGTCAATGTTATAAATTATGTCCTATTCAAAGTAAATTGAAATTACTTGCTTTCAGACTAAAATGCAAGTTACTGACTGATTTTAGTTCAGGCTGAAACTGAAAAGGGCAGTTTTCTACGTGTTTTCTACCCACAACCTTGCACTGGCACTGGCACCTGCCTAGCTTAATGGTGAGACCAAAACTCATCTAAATGAAGTTTCTGCCCAGGGTTGTTTTTAAAAAGATTAACTCCTGTTTCAGATCAGAGTTCAGCTATCCAAACAGAAAACCATAGTACAAAACAGCACCAATGACCAGGAGCCAATCTTTTTGCTGTACTTAAACTTACATCAGCTTGAAAAGAGATCATGAAGCCTCATCTGGAATTGTGAATTAAAAGACGGGCGTTCCTCATCATAAGACTTGTTTTCTATGTTAGACATAAAAGCTAAGGTACTGAACAAAAGCTCAACTATGCACATAGAAAATAATTTGAGTTATTTTTGGCTTTTCCCAGCTTCTACCATGTGTGAATACCAGCAATGATTAGTTCACTTAGTCACTTTGAAGACCAGAGCTGTCACTTCTGGCCGTTCAAATAGAAATGTTTAACACACAATTTTAACAACTCTGAGAAAACTGGCAAAAAAAAAAGCTAGTGGGTAACAGGTAATATAGCAGGTAATAACACATACAAGAAAGTGTGTTGGATTTTAAGAGTCAATACACAGTTTGAGCTTTTTGTTCCTTAGTGAAAGGCCAGCTGTGTGAACTAAGTTGATAAGGGAAAACAAATTTGTCCAGACGTTTTCTACTAACAGTGAACTATGCCTCATTAATAGGACAAGAGGATACATGAATTGTTAAAAAGAACATCATTGCTAGAAAGCCTGAATTAATGTGCTATGCAAAAAACCCCAAAACATTTCAAAACATATGTTAATGCATCAAAACCTTCAATAACTCAAATGCTAATAGGAAACAAGAGCCATTTAAATAGCAGTAGTGCCATCTTGTGTTTAAAGAAAAAAGTGTCTAAAGATGCAATAAGAATATAAGAATAATTCTCCTGCTAAGCCACTAACATTAATTACTATAAAACAACCTGCTTGTATTCACATATGGCTTATGGTTTACAATATTTTTGGAACATTCAGTTTTGCTGTGCCTCAGATGAAAACCAACAACATGCTAGACAACTTCAACAAAATATATACAGCCAAGAAATGGAAGATAGGATGGAGATCTACAAAGAACATGCTTAACATTAGGCTTTTTACTCCAGCTGCACAACAAAGCAAAGGTGATGGTGACTGCTTCTGCTGGCTGTGACTGACCTCAAGTAGTAGCTGTCATATCAGAGTTTAATACCTCAATTGGTGGTGGTGGTTGCTGCAGCATCTACAGCCAAGACTACCCTTCTGCAGCTGGTGCAAGACAAGGAGATGGGGGAGCTCCTTCTGGCATACTGCTGCTTAAGGCAATGACAACTATTCTGCTTGTGTTTAGGCCTATGTTTAATACTCGTCTAAATTAGAAAACCTAGAGTCATACACAGGCACACACAGTGTCTTCCCATTCCTAATATATATAATTAAGTACCATATAAAAGTATGATATCAGAGAACTGTCCAAAAACAACAACCAGGATTCTTGGAGATTTCTCATAGGTCAGGCTTGAGGAGGCAGGTGTTAAAATATGAAAGGTTACCTTGGGATAGGGTGTTATATTACAGCATGACAGGCTCAACCAATTCAATGAAGAAAACCTGAAGGCTGAGACATTACTGAACTATCAATAGAAAGCTGTGGCTTTAAAGTAATAGTTACATTTTATTTGCAGTGAGCTATCCTGAGCTGATACTTTACAACATACAGCACATCAGTTTGAAAGCTAGAGTGATTTCTCATACATTCCCTATTTAAGGAAACCCTTGAAAAAATATTATAAAGGAGACAAGCATCTTCATGTTTTGACAGAAAAGAGAACAGTTTACATAAAACCTACTTCATTTAACATTTCATGAGAAATAACTAAGCAGCTTAGAATTTGTTAGACATGCCAAAGTTCTGAAATTATTCTATATTTGACAGCTGCACAGAAGTGAAATATTGACATTACCAATTTCAAGATGCTTAAAGAACTGAATATTGCACTGGTGACAGTACAATAGAAATATATCTTATCAATGCTGAAATATCTAAGTTTGATAAGAATAATAAAACTAGTTTACAAGAAAATATGTACTTGATATAACCAAAATTAGATCAAAGTATTAAAAACACATTGGTAAAAACAGTCTTACTCTAGCATTAGAGCAAATGAGAACTTACTATGAGCTTACTTCTTAAAGCTTTCATTCTGTGAAAACAGCATTAATAGTCAATGACTTTAGCATTGTTTGAAAAATGTAGGTGTACACTTAGAATATAACAAATGTGAAAAACTTCATGCCGATAGAAACAGCAGGGATTATAGAAGGTTGGAATTAAAGCTACTCTGCTTAGATCTGCCTACTAATATTTTTTGCAATGGTTTTTAAATGTATCATCTGCAGAACATAAATAAAATCATTTTCCCTGAAAAGTAATTGACGTATAGCTTACTGGAATAGTTATGAAGGTCTTAAAGTCTACAATATCTTCCATGTGTCTTTACTGAAGCTTCTTCCAGAAATGGACATTAAAACTTAATTACCTTAACTTCTGACCTGATTTGCAACTAAAATATTTAATCACATATCTCTTTATGCCAAATAATTCAACTGACCAAAGTATGAGTAAGACAGCTTAAGATTTTGCTTCCACTGAATTTGGATCACACGGCCTTTCTATAAAAAATGACATGGCCTTAGAAATTAAATACTTCCTACTAATTATTACTGTAAATTCATTTACAGTTGGTACCCTTCTCTGTACTACTTCACAGCACATTATTTATACTTTCAAATATCTGCCATTCTTAAGGGAAATTGCTGCTTTTAATAACTGCCACAATATTTTCTATAATTTTTACACGTGGTTAGTTAAACCAAGTATCTCCATATATCCAAGGTATTGCAACTATTCCAAACTTCACCTCTGCTGCAAATAAAAAGGAAACGTGATCCAAAAGCAACAAATTCACAACAGGTCTTTAACTTGAGTTGCTAACCATTCCTTAGCATGGAACATTCCCAATTGAATACTTAGAAAAAAACCAGAAGACCAAGTGATATATGGAAAAGCTGAAGTGTTGGTACATGAAGCATTTACATTTTGTTTTATTTATGCTATTGCTGCAATCTTAGATGGTTTTGATTCCTTTAACAAAGCAAGAATCCTTCTCTAATATTGCCACTGAATATGTCCCTACATGAGTTTCAATAAAGTGATTAAAAAGACAGTGGCTTCGTATTTCTAAATGCATGTGTATTACGTAACCCTTTTACAGCCCTATCACTGAAATGAAAGTACTTCTCACTCTTCAAGTAGTATTCCCTTACTGTTACCATGTGACAAACACACACGAGTGATAATAACAGCAATTGAAATTATTAATGTGAATAATTCTTGCTGTTTCACAACCCATTTGACAGGTTATACTTCACACACTGACAAAGAACTGATTGCGCTATATGCCAGTATAAAGAGCTACAACCATGCTATGTACATCAAATTCATCCATGTGAACACAGTTGATGGAAAACAACTTGTTTCATACAATACGGTGAAGTTAATGACAGTGACACATTTCACAAAACTCATCATCCATTCACATTTAGTTTGTAATTCAGTTTAAAACAATGAAAAGCGAAAACATGCAACTATTAACACTGAAGAAGAGGTGTTTTACTTATGTGGAAGAGCTTAGAATGTGAGTTCAGAAAGAGCCATGCAGAATAAACATGCCAGATAAGTTATAGAAAACATGGCAGTGAAAAAAGACATTCAGTGCATGGCATTGAACCACTCAAAACTCTAACAGAGTGCAAATGAAATAATTAAGTTTCTTTAAACTTTCAACAAACTGTGCAAGTTACACAAATCACAGTATGGGCTGACTGGGAGATGCTTATGAATAAACATCAAATGCATTATTATCCTAATTAACTTTGTATTTAATTTACACCCTGAAGAATGCATTACTTGTAAATAAATATTTTCCTTTTTTAGCCGTGAAAAACATTCACAGTACTTTCAGCTGAAAGGCTTCAAGCTGAAACAGATGTCTATAGCTCTACAGAACTGTCATTAGCGTGTCATATTAGCAGTAACGTTACTCTTGGAAAAAAGTGAAAACTAATGGAGTCACATTCAAATATACTATGTTTTTTTCACAAGATAGGCTGTCAAGTTCAGAAGAGACTTCTCTGGGATAAAAGGGAAACATTACCTCATCAACAGGCATCAATATAACATGTACAAAATTAAGTGTTGTTTTTTCTCATTAGAAGAGCTGAACCTAAGTTTTCAGTTAGCCTAAACTTCTGTTAGAAGAATATATTAATCAATACTCATGTACACGATACCAAGATTTTAAAATTGAAAGTTAGTTTACATAATATATTATTGACAACCATTTGCTTTCTGAAATTATATTTAGGCTTTCACTGTCTTAGAGCTCATCTTCCTTAACACTTCTGTCATCACTGCAAGGAGGGTTCAACACAGTACTGAGCAAAGGGCGCATTCTTGCACTTCCTCATTCTGTACCTCAGATTCCAAAGATTACTTCATCATAGTCGTATTTATCTCACCAACTTTTAAATGATTCTTCTTTTCAATTACTCAATTGTGACGAAAGTGATTAATGGTTTAGGATAAATGTTAAATGGCAGCCAAACAGCAAATCAAAGTGAGACTACAGGAAAAGAAGTCTCTTCCTAGTCTTAACCTATGGTTCAACGCAACCTATGAAATAGTAGTTCAGCAAACAGTTTTACTGCATAAAGTATTTCAACTGTTCGATCTGACTAAAGAGATAAAATGAAATCCCTCTACAATGATACACTAATGTACTAAACTAAAACAAAATGAACCATTAACACAGTGATTCTGAAATGAAAATAACCATATCCCAGTTAACGAAGAAGAGTCCCTTTCCCAAAATTAAATCATACAGCCTCTTGCCTTCATTTATTTAATGACCCACTTGCCAGGAGAAGAGTTAAGTGCCATTCCAACCATAGAAGGGTTCAATCTACCTGCATACAACATATTCCAAGGCAATTTTGTCACCAAATTGTTAAAACACAAGTCTGGAGTTGGTAGGGTATTATGTCACTGTTGGATGCAGAAAAGTAAACAGAGTTCTGAAACAGTAATGGGGTATACATACATATGACTAAGTCCTCTTCCAGAAATTAAATGCAAACATGATAATACCTCTATCTTGACCACAGTCATATAGAAATCAGACCATATGGCTATGCATGCAACGCATGAGAAGAAATTAAGTCAGCCACATGTTCTCAAAGAGTGTACCTTTGCAAAAGTAGTGGAATAATGTTGTGACTTGCATAGACTGAACTCTTAGTACAGATTAGAATTTCACCCATTCAGAAAACAGAAGTACAATTGTAAAATCAGATCTTCTAAACCACCAATGTCCTTGATTTTTTTAAAAATTATTGTGTCCAGTATATTTAGTGCAGAAGCAGCCCAGAGAATTACCAATTAGCATCAGGAATGAAAAATTAATAACTTAATGCATTGTAATCTGAAAATTTTATTTTATTTTTATTGCTGGGTTAGTGTTGCATAGAGTAAGGCACTAGATTAGGAACAGAGCAGAATTTTTCTAGTTCCTACCTATGTCATTGGCTACCATCTTGGAAAACTTTCTGCTTTTGGTCTTCACTGTAAATAACATTTTGACAAAAAAGATGAATCTAAGTGTATCAAAGGATAAACTGAAAAAAATAAGACTATAGAAAAGAAAAATACTGTACCCTTTTCTATAAAATTATTCATTTTTTGATCATCATCAGAATTGTTTGGTGAACCAGAACCTATGGGTGAAGACAGAATGAAATGGATATACAAACATATATCTTTGACACAAAACCAATGTATTAATACAAGCTGTGAGTTTAAAGACTATACAAAGATGTATTAAAATATTAAATACTGACACTGGTATTCTCTGCAGCTGTACGAGATACCATTTTGGTATGACAGGAATCCTGCCATATTGATTTTAACAACAAAAATTATAACGCAAGGTACCACGTTGCACAGTGCAAGTTTATTGCAAGAAATACTTCCCTCATTGAATAAAATGTTCACAACTACATTGCTGTCCTAATCATGATTCCAAACACAAAGATTAACCTAAATTATGATTCTGTATCAATAAATTTATTTTTTGAAAATTAGTTTTTTTCCAATGCAGTAAAAGTCACTGTTGGGCCACAGTTCAACTATTCTGCAGACAACTGAGAGTCAATGCTGCCACATAGGATCTTTCTAAATACTTCATACTGGAAAACCACTGGTGGCTATAGTCCACAACTTGAGGCTTACTATTGGATGTGAAATTAAAACATAGTTCAACTAAAAAATGCCAAATTTTATTGGATTTTATATTGTGGAAGTGTAAAATAAGAACACAATGCAAACATTTTGACACACATGAACACAAAAAAATTGACAGTTTACAATGCCATACAATGTTTGATAAATGGTCAGGTAAATGGGTCAGATAAATGTCCCTGGAGCCTAAGCTTATTGCTGCTTAATTTCAGTAGAAAGAGCAGGGCATAACTTTACCATTTTAAATTTACAGTGTTTCTATAGTTCTGTGTTATTAAAACTAGCATCCTCTCCTAACTTGCATAGACAAGTAATCCTTTTCACAGTCCATTCAACTGTATAACCACCCACTGGAGGAAGTCTAATGAAATTTAGCTTCACCTGGGCACAGAAAGGTGGAAGGAGGTGGAAGACATGGAAGATTTAGATCACTTGAGCAAATACAGGCTTCAGCCCAAACAGTGGCTGGTTTGTTTTACAGGTCACATTCTACCAGTAAAACCCATTAACACACTCAATTGCCAATCCCTTCCCCCAATCTTTAAGCCAGTAACAAGCAAACTTCTTGTGCTAGTGTACTTCCCTCTTAACTAGACAGCCTCTAGACTGGAAAAAGTTCATTTAAATCTGGCCTCTGTCTTGCACGTCAAGCTCACCAATGCTGTGCAGCTGATTTCTCCAAAATCTTTGTCTCCAAAAACAGAAAGCCAGTTTCAAGATTTTTTCCAGTCTTGTGCTCTTGCCAGAAAAGATATAAAACTTACACCAGACCTAAGGAACTCCAGCTCTTCTCTCTTCACAAACAGCACCAAATCATTTCCATATCAGGGAGGTGCCTCCCTCCAAGTACCTTTCTCAAAGGAAAAATGTAGAAGGCTGCCATGAACCTTCTCATTCACTGAGAGCTGGGAGAAGAGGACAGAACTGAGGGAATTAAGGCACAGTCCAGCCTCACTACTTCAAGATTCTGTTTTACAGGGGAATGCAACAGTGGCTTTCACCCTCCATATTTTGTCCATTTTTAGTACTTTAGACTTATTTCTCTTTAGTATTGTGTGCATATCTAAGTCATTATATACTCTTTTCACAGAATATTCAGCTCTCTAAACTTCTAGATTTTATTCTAATATGAACCAACTTCAAAGTAGTTTCCTCAGTCAACTCATAAATTGAAGATTGATTTCTGCTTCTGTACAATTAGGAATTTCCCCTAATGCTGTTTCCTTTTAGAACATTTGAATCCATCAACAGATGTTGCCTCATTTTCAATCCTCTTAAAGAAATGTCCAAATTGCATTAATTTTTAACCTACTTCAGTTAACAGAAGTCTGACAGGAGGGAGAGAAGTAAACAGAAAGAGGAGGGAGGCATATTGTTAGATTTAGAATTTTTCCATATAAACCATGATTTTCATCTTTGAGCTTCTTTTCATTGCACTTTCAGTGGAAAAAGTGAATTGAGTTTTACTCTATTTCAACTTCAAATTATGAAAGAAAACCTCTAATTCAAGTTAAATAGTGTTTTGAGTTTTAGTGGTACCAGCTGGAAGTGGTTTGGCATGACATTTGAGTGATGCTGGAGCAAAGGGCAAAAAAGGATACAGATTAAGCTTTACAATTCATCAGCTGTTCACTGTACAACATTTTATAGCAGAAACTAGACTTAGCCTGGAGCTTAAGTGGGTCAAATTCAAATACCTTAGCAAGAATTATCATCAGCCTCCTCAATCTTGACAGAGCAAGTGATTTACTGCAACTGCAGCGCTGCACAGCAAGTTGTTTACAGACATTGTCTTGATATTTGAAAGTGAAGTAGGAAAGATGCACTTTAGAGACCGCAAAAAATGCTTGCATTAAAAATGATGCTGAAGTTCAGCATGCCAATACTTAGCAAAACACAAGCCTGTCATTAAATCACATTTCAGTTATGACTTTTTAACTAAATTTCCTGCCCAATTTTTTCTTTAGTTATAAATAAATCTAATTTACTCTAAAAAAAGTTATCAAAAATGACATTGACTGATCCAGATGAGTTTTGCACAATTGAAAATTAATATCAAAAGACAGAAGTTGTCAAATCAGAAATTGAAATTTATGTTAAAATTTCCACTACAGCTACTAACAGAATATTTTGTTTTGTTATGCTTTCCACTTGGCTTTGAAAGGTACAGGCTACAATAGGAAAAGAATCTATTTTTAGATTCCTATATGGATTACCATTTTGCACTACATTGCAAAGAGTCCACATACTACTACATGTACTTGAGTAAACCTGCAATTTTGTCCTTTATTCTAACTTGGAGTACAGCTCTGAATGAAACAGGTAAGGTGACACATTACTTTAAAAGTCTGCTCAGAGTAATGGTGAATATAAGCAACAAGTTTTTAGCTACTACATGAAATACTTACCTTGAATATTATATATTGACATGCACTATTAAGTATTTACATGGCTATAGCCTCAACTAGCCAATATTAAACAAAATACTAAATAGTATTACATATTGCTGAAGCTTTCATTTAAAATACTGACATACAGTAGTGGCAACCGAAAAAATAGGGTGGGGGGAGTGTTAAGTAGGGAACTTCCACTGTGTAAGGCTCCAGTTTTTGAAAATCTCTGATTCCAAAGAAAAAAATAATTTACCATTTATGAGGAAGCAGAAGTAAACTAGCTCTTTAAACAGAAATAATCTTTACCACTTTTGAGGTCTCAAACACAATCACATAAGCTATTTCAGGAATTTGTGCATCTCTTATCAATGTTTAAAAATTCCATCATGCAATACGTCCACTGAACCATAAATATTTCAGGTTTTATCTCTTCACTCATCTTTATGACATATTCCTATTACATGTCTTAAATGAGCTTTGTTTTAAAAGTGCAGTTGTGCAACACAGCAGAATTTATGACAGCTTAGTTTGTGAGAAGACAACAGGTTATATTTAATTACTTAACCAGTAAATGCTGACTTAAAGCATGCCATCTTCTGGGCAAATAAGAAGCTGAAGTTAAGAGAAAGTTATGATTACCTGAAGTGGGTGATTTGCAGCGATCTTCTGGCACCATTGTACCTTCATTAATATCACAAAGACCTGCTGGAACACAGAAAAGTGTACAATACATACAGCTGCTACTTTAACCTTTCTTCCACTACAGTAAGAAACTTCATTTCTTATTATCTACAATCCAGCTAGTTTTGACAGAACGTTACATACTTTTACAAGACTTTTTTTTTTAATTTAGACTTTACCCAGAGTGACTGTAGAGTAACTTATTTCTTCCAACGAAAGTTCTTCACAAAATACACCTCCTCATTAAGTTTCAGTGAAAACCACCATATTTTCAGCAAGACAGACTTATCACAACAAGTATTTAGATACGTATTAAGTACAAATAGAACTTTTGAAAAAATGCTAGTTATATTAGAAAATGTAATTGCAAAAGTCAGATGAAAAAGGATCTTGAAGATTATAACCATGCTTGCAGTATGATGTGTGAAACTACAGCACCATTTCTCAAATTTTCCCCCCAGTTATAGTGATATGCTTTGTATTTGCTGTTGCACTGCCATGTTAGTTTTCCAGCAAAATTCCTTATTGATGTCACTTACAGAATTTAGGTTCTAGGGTACTTATGAAAAGTGTTCTTCCTTGCATGGAGAAATTTCACTAAATTCTTACATCATCACATCTAATCAATTGAATAACTGCAATATGTTGTTTAAGAGCTCATTCCTTCCATTCCAGTGAAGGAAATAAAGCATATGAGTCCACAATCAAATGCTAAAGATGGAATTTGCCTCATAAGGGTCCTACATATTATTCCATAGCATTAACTAGAAGTATACCAAGATTTTTTCTAATTAACTTTGACAAGAAATTGCTGTCAAGACTGCCCATAATTAAGAAAAGTAATTTTTATTGATATTTTAAGGCTAGTAATGCATCTTTAGGTTTATATATAAAAGTTTTCCTTCAGAAATTTCACAATGTGATACTAATGCAAACAAGCATGAAATACTTAACAGTAATAGTTAAGAAATAGTTGTTAAATGAGAGTTATTCCATACACACAAATATTTCAAACAGTCAAAAAGCTTGAGAGCTATAATGGTAATGGCTAAGGCAACAACGACTTGCACATGCAAAGCCTGTCTATACAGCTGTATTCCACAGATTCACTAGTGAATCTGTACCTGTTAATAGACTACAACAAAAAATATGGGAAAAGTGCTACTCTTCTATCAAAGCTTTAGAATATTCAAATGTTAAAACAGAAGTTAATAATTTCAAGGAAATAAGTTCTCCTGAAATATCATATAAATGTGGAACACATTAAAAGTATGTGGCACTCGTGCACTGTTTCATTTATGCAAAGTATTGTTTTTTTAAGATTATTAAGACCATGTACAGCCTGAATCTCAAAACACAATGACTAGGATTGATGTGAAGTTGTCAAGTGACCATAAGGCTTGGTTAAGCCTACACTTAACAGGGTTGTGTAAAAAGGTTTTTCTCAAAAATCCAGGTGCTACTATCCCAACAAGCAATACAAGTCTTAGATAATAGCAGTGCCAGGAGGACAAACCTGTACTGTGCTTTTAGAGATGTGTTTCTCTTTCAGGAGTCAAACTGCACAAATCCAAACATGCAGTTCAGGAACTTTATTTCCTCTTTCCTGTAAATGTTTCAATTCTTCATTTTCATAGGAAGAGTTTAGCTTTTCACACTAGTGTTCCTATGAAAAGTGAAATCCTGCATTGACAGGAATAGTCTTTAGCCAAGAATGAAGTCACACACCTGCACGCTTAATTTCTTTGTAAGAAGTCTTGAGACTATAATTTTGTTAATATATATTTTAATTGATAACTTGCATCAATTGATCCAACAGAAAAACCCCCCAAACATTCCTCTCATCATAAACCTATACACTAATTTTATGCATCAGTTAAGATTTATCCCATTAAAGAGTTAAGTGGGCATTATGACAATCCTTATGGCACATAAACCTTGGAAATGTAAGCACAGCCATCACTGCTATCGTTTAAGAGAGATAAGAAGGGAGAGGAATAGATTAAAAGTAATTTTAGTTATGACTATGTTTATAATTAAGCTATGGAAATAACAAGAATTAGTCTGAACTATGGGGGTCTGTCCATGACCAACAAGAAGAAACTGGTGTACCAATCATTACTGCTATTCATCTTCAAACCTCAGGTACCCTGATAGAAGCAGTGATCACACTGGCAGCAAGACAGCTCTCCTGGAAAAGTTCTTTGGTTTCAGGCTTACAATGTGCAAATTTCTACAGATTACAAAAGCAAATTCATACAAGATTTTCCATTTCAGAACTGCAAAGACTACAGCCTGCTTAGAACACAGAGATATGGAAAAGTGACCTTCTAATAAGCTTTAAGATTCTCTCTGAATTCTAGCAGCAACAAATTTGAAAATTTTTTAAAGTAACTAAAGACAAACTACCATTTTGCATTAAAAACTCCCTAGAATTGCAGCTGAAGTTAACACCTGTCAATTTTTCACATAAGCTTTAGGCAGATATATCTCTGAAGAAACTAAAACTGGTCTGGAAACCTGACTAATTAAAAATTACAACTAGAACTAACTTGATATGAAGATACAAAAGTTAGAATTAAACACAATAAAACTGAAAAATGGAGTAAAAGAATCCCCAAGCACAACAATCAAATTTGGCTTGGCCACAGCTGGTATCTGTCTAGTTTAGTTGACATTAAAGTTAAAAATTCAAATAGAGTTCAAAATTCAAATAGAGTTCATATCTAGATCCAGATGAAGGAGAAAGGGGATAGGGAAAACATTTAGAACAAACAACCCCAGAAGAGTTCTAGACATGTATTTTCTTCAGGTCTGACTCACCCCAGTTTTGAAATCCTTGTAGATTACATTCAAAAAAGACTTTTTGATATACAATAAAAATAAAAAGCCACATGTATGCAAGTACTGTTTCTATTTTGTCGGAATCCTAAACTGCCTCTGGCAGAATTAAGAAATGCTAACTTAGAAGAAACTGTTTTGTATTGGACTAGTTAAGAAGTCACATAAAACCTTGTAACTATCACCAACAGTAAGCTGCAAAAGAGTTAAGACTGGTGTCCTATATGAACATAATTAGGTAACTAAGCAAGGAAAAATAACAGCTGTCTGCAAGTTTTGGTGTTTAGTCATAAAACTGTTTGATAATTTGGTAACAATATTGACTTTCTTCTTAACAGCTCTCGTCATATTTAGCTAACAGTATATCAAGCAAAGGTCACTAAACAGTGTAGGCCTCCACTGTATATAGTTTTTATCACACTATAAAGCTTTTACTCACACATATTGTGTTTCTGGCACATGGCCAAAGTTGGTTTTTTTTACCCCTCTATTACAATCTGAAGGCAAAGGTTGACTTTGTTATTATCCTTTACAAGCACCTGATGACACCATCTAGAAGGCCTTCACAAAACACATATAGTGCATGCTTCACAAACTATAAATTGCCACCCCAAACATGTGAGTAATATACCTGGTATGAATCACTGATATACTCCAAAACACGATTCCCAACTGGGAGCTTGTATCTGTTGAGCTAGCCTGAAATGAGAGTTTACAGTCTAGCTAGTGTAGAGAGCCTTGTCTCTAAATAGATGGTGCTTTAAGACGGGAATCTGAATTTCTTTTCTGAGTAGAAAAAAATAAGATGACAAAAACATACATCATATTCTTGCAACACAAGTGAAGGGATAATCTTGCATTTTTTAAGAAGTCTAAATTTTCAGCTGGTTGACTCGGGACATGCCATTTACTAAACTGTAATTATGTGAGCAGATACTGAAGATCTATTAAGTAAAGATTTTATGCTGGAACATACAGAATAGCAGAGTTCTTAATAAGGAAGGACCAATCTTGCTGTGTTTTTTGGGCAAAACCTATGGAAGTGGTCGAGTAACTGTGCATGATGTTTTCCTGTTCCCTTCTATACTGAAATAATTTAATTTTTTGTTCTGCCAATCTAGGGATACAATGTACAACAATATGCTGCTCTGAACTCGAACTTAATGTAACCAATTAAGAACCTGTCTTAATGCATGCAAAGGGTAGTTTCTTTTTCCCCCCCCCAATACATTACGGTTGTCTCAAAGAGAATGGGAAATATACTCAGTTTCTCTGTAACAACCACATTAAACACATAAGCACTTTTTCTAGAAAGATAGTTAAGTACTAATACTCCCTGAAGGTTATTAGAGCTGTACAGTAGTTGAAAATGTCTTATTCATAGAAAAGTAAATTCAGAAGTATTAAAAAATAAACGTTTTAAATATAAACAATTCAATGAAGGCATCTCTTTCAAAACAAAACCAAGGAAGCATAAATTCCTTGCATCTCTGAAGATACCTAAACACATATTAATGTTCAAGAAAGGGAGAATGCAAAATCCAAAAGTAATCCAACTCATAGTTCCAATCTTAGAAATATAGCAAGGGATTTTTTTTTGAAGTAATACTTATTGTGAAAAATTACACAGCAATAATGCTTTATTATTTAAGCTACTGAAGTCTGGACAACACATACATTGAAAGAACTCCAAATAATGAGAAATATTAAATACCACTAGAGAAATTTTTTTCAGTTTTTAAATAGACTGTAGCTCCAGCTAATCACGATATTGAGAGGATGGTGAAGGAAAAGAGGGGAAAGAAAGAATGGTTAAGAAATTAACTCTAGTACAAAACCTGTTTTAACTCATTCCTAAATTAAATAGTCCAGGTAAACTCAGATTTACAATTGTTGGCTTCAGAAACCAGTTTTGGGACTTCGGCACATCTTTTGCTTCCCTTCAAAATAATAAATCAGTAGCAGATCCTGACTTTCAGTTCTGTATCACCTTAAGGTAGAAGCAATTCTATGCGTAGCTCTTTTTCTCCCTTGGCTGCAGAGGATGGAATACTATACAGAAAAGCCATCTTCGGTTATTGAGCCTATCCCTCTCTGAAACATTTCTTTTTCCTTGCTAGGGAAAAAAAAGTAGAACTGGACCACAATCTCAAGTTTGTCTGTTTGTGTTTTTCTCATTTGTTTGTTTTTGTGTTTTGGTTTTTTGTGTGTGTGTTGTTTTTTTTTTAAACTCCAGGTCATTCTCCCCTTAGCTTAGTTTTATTCTACTCTCCTTCATTAAAAATGGTGTGAGATCACCTACCTCTGCCCAAGGGCTGGAGAAAACTGGCATCCTGATACAATGTTATGCTTTTTAAAATCAGCTTTTTGTTCTCCAAATTCTTGGATGCTGTGCATGATTGAATAAGTCAGAGAAGCCCTCAGGTAAACCATGGTTCTAAAGAGCTACCTTCCTTGCATAGGCACCTGAACTTCAAAACTGCTTGGACACCCCACAGGGTAGTGCAATACACAGACACCTCCACTCTTAATTCCTATGAGCAACATCTCTGTAGAAGTAAATTTTAATTGATAATACACAAATTGCTGTCTTTTAAAATTTTAAATATTATAAATAATAATAATAATCATCATCATCATAATCATCTAACACTAGACTTCTAAAGCCTTTTCTGCCAGAAAGAAGACCAAACAAGGGAAGCTTCTAGCCTCAGATCTCAAAGCAACACTACAGTGAGTAATATCTTAGGTCAGTAGACATCAGTAATTTCTGAGACAGGATCCCCTTTTGATGTTGATATTTATTTTACAACAAAATACAGAGACGATTGATTGCTTTTTTCCATCAAGTTTCTTTTAAAGATGCCATAAACAAGAAACAATAGATGTATGATGGACTACAATCAGTTTCTGAAAATAAAACAATTACTTAAAATGGACTAACAGAAGTATTTATGGTGAGCAAACAAGTAAAAAAAATCAGATTCAGATGTTCAAAAATATTTCATTGTCATGAGATGACTTACTTATATAAGAGGTGCGAAGCTTTTTCACAGACTCTGAATATAAGTTAGAAAGGCCGCACATGCAAGAAGCCACAGTCAGCATACCTTTATGAAGCAATGAGAAAAGGAAAGACGGAGACACTAACAGTACATTTGAGACAGAAAAGCCAGCAGAATAACTTGTATAACCAGGTTTATAAATGCTCTTGCCATGCAGATAGTTAGTATTAAAATGTAAGATGGAAAAATACATGATTTCATGTAACAGCTATATTCATGAGCAACAAGAATTTAATTCATTAACATCTTAGAGACACAGTTGAAACCTGGAGTTGTGTGAATCCAATACATTAAAGTAACAAAAGCTAAGAAAACAAAGCAAGTAATGTTTAACACTAAAAGGCAGTTTATAATCTAAATGCATGAATCAGAATTTAATCTCTCTACTCACAAGAAGAATTAACACAGTCAACCAGTAAAGTTATTTCTTTCTCCCTTAAAAAGCACTTTTAAAATGAGGTTTTTATTAGAAGAAAAGATTATATCTGTCAGGGTACCAACTGTGTATGTTCTGCTCTATGTTAATGACTTTAGTTCAGTTTCTTCAGTTGAAAGTAGCTGACTGGTGCTAACTGGATCTTTCTCAAACCAATGATTTCCCAAAATACATCTTAGAACACTGAATAAAATATTACCTAAAGAACTTACCTGGACTTCATTCTGGATCTCAAAACAAAACCACCAACACTAGAGTATAAAGAAGTCTTTTGAACAGTTTATTTCCTATCCAAAAAATAATCACTTGGGGCAGCAGTGACATTATTTATCATTCTGTCTTTAGGCATTTTCCAAATTAACTTAAAACTATCTACTACACTTTTCTCCTCAGCTGCAAAGAAACACTCTTTTTTTAAAATCAAAGTCCTTTTTTCAAAAAAGATTTATTTTACCAGTTTGGATTTAGAAGTTTATTCGGTTCATTTAAATCAAAGGCTTCCTCTCAAGCACAACATAACAGCGTTCACAATGTAACATGCTTTAGCCTATCAGGGATATTTCTAGTCAAAGGTTAAAACACGAAGCCAGAAGATCCCAGCAGATTCACTGGCTATCTATGAACATTAATGGTTGTATACAAATGTGTGATATGGGCACTAGGTTTATCAGAAATACCAGGATATTTCTACTTCTTCATCCTGTGTTAAGTTAAAGTCTTGTAAACTGCATAAAACCCTTGTATATTTATACTTGTATCCATTCAGACAGATGTTTTCCCATCTGCTTTTTCTTAAAACATACATTACATTGAAAAAAAAAAGTAATAATATCAAGCATCAGTAGATTCCACCAAGCAATAGTTTTGAAGGAAACATGAAATAACAAACCTTCAATAGTGACATTAGAGACAGTTGGTTAAAACACGTTTTGGGTTACTCACCTCCAGAAGGTTGACGAGTTTTTCGGGGAGATCGTGGTTCCCTGCGATAAGGATCGTTAGAGCCATACAGTTCAATAGTGCCTAGGTTCAAAAGCACTGTCTTCTGGAGGTAATCAACCATGGCAATACCATTACAGTTTCCAAAAACTACTCTGGAAAAAAGTGGAAGGAAAGACAGTGATAATCAACTGTTGGCAAAGTTTTTTTATCAGTATTTGTGATTTTTATGAACTACCCTACATTATGCATATTTCCAAATTACTATTTTTAGAATGCAGTAGTGTTTAACTGTTCTCTTGTAAAAACACATGACACTGAGTAGAACATATCACCATCGCTGTAGTTGTCAACCTGTTTGACAGAGCCTTAAGTGTCTGTCAATTTACTCTTGGCTGTACAGTGCCAGATGATGAAGTTTGATGCTGATTTGTTTCTGATGTTAGCAACATCAGGATCTGCCATGACCCAGAAGGAATTATTTTAAGCAGATGAGACTGATTGCCTCATGTGACTGTGCAGCTCATGTGAACACACATGGAGGGTTAATTTTTAATAGATAATTTTAAACTACTTTAGGTGAGTCATGAAAAAACAGTGTAGAATATACTTACAGGCCATACGCTGAGTTGATCGCTAAGCTGGTTATCTGCTGAGGAGGTTCTCCGCTCACCCACACTAGCTGGATTACTAGCTCAATTTGGTAGCCTGGAGACTGCTTGAGAGGAGAATTTTTAACTCTGCAAAGTAAACAAAACATGGTATCTTTATGATTCTCCACAATCTCCTTTTTTTCCTTATAGGCTCAGAATTAAATTTTACACCACACTGGACATTAGAAGTTGGAGAGTTGCAAAAAAACCAGACACAAAAGCAGCCAGAAAAAAAAAACAAAACAAAACAAACCAACAAACCACATTGGAACTAGTCATTCACACTTAAAAGGTCCTATCTGTTCATTACCTAATTGAAAATTAATTGAGCAGTGATCACAAATATTTAATTTCCCCCTTCTTCAGAGTAAGACATAACAGCACTTTCATGCTGTATTTACTTAATATGTATTTACTTTAATTTACTTGATAAAGGGCTTTGGTGTCTAAGAGGAAAGCATTACAAATTATTTTCAGAGTTCCCAAAACTCTGATTTAGAGAATGAAAAGTGGTGAGGGGTGCACGTGAAAGCAGCACACTGAAGAGGGAAATGGAAGCACAATGTATTGAGACAACTGCAAACAAAAAGCTGACAATATGGTAGGAAAAAATGAAAGCAAGGTAAATTATTATAATGGTAGACCCACTTATCTGGAATGAACCTGAGAATGGGGGAACTGAAGCTCCTGGAAAGATTTTATTTGCATACTGATGAACAAACTTATGAATGCCCTGCAGAAAGGATTAGGTCTTTCATCTTTTAAAGGGAAAAAGTTACATAGAACATAAGCTCCTTCCATTCCTGAACTCCCCTTATTTTACCTATTCATTCTTGTTAATGCATATTTTGGTTTGCCAATATTTAAAAAAATTAAAAAATCAGAATTTCCCAATTTTTCTATTCTGTCCAGGTGTCTTTAAAAAGATACTTTTGCAACTCAGTACAACAATGCGATAGGAAAACTGCCACCCATAGAAAATAACCCCATCAAAATTAGTTATTTTGTGGATGGATGCACTAAGAATTAAAATCCAAATTGAGACCTTAAAATGTCAAAAAACAAAGTACATACAAACATAACTTTATATCTGAAACTGAAGTTCAATGTATATTCTGTACGGAAAAGGTGATGGTCTGGAGACCTCAATGCACTCTTGTAGAAGAGTAAAAAATATATCACTTTTAACTTTCATTTCTCAAATGGGTAAAAGTTCATGCATGAAGACCCTTAAGGAAAAAACCTCCTAATTTTAAAAAAAAAATCTGAAAATTGGTTAAAGACCTACACTGCAAGCACTATGAGGCATCATGCAAAATTATGATCTGTGAGAACTGGACATTTTTTTCTTGTTCCCAAAATACAAAGTAGCTCCTTCGGACAGTTAGGAAAAAATTGTTTTTATAAGCCTAAAAAGAGTTAACTCTCAGTTATTTCTAAGCATTTTCATTGCTTTTTATGTAGCTCTACAAATCTATGTCTCCAGAAAACTAGGAGATCTATTCAGACATACTTGGCCTAAAGTTAAGGAGAGCCACAAAACATTAAGTTCCCTATTCATTTCAATGGACAGTAAGATTTCTAAGTAGCTATATTGCTGCTATTGAAAATGTTTGCTTTAAAGCATGAGCAAGTATAACTACACAAGCATCTATGCCAAGATTTCCTAAAGCAAGCAGCAGTCATAAGATAAAAGTTTTCAGATTTTAGTTTTAAATCATCTTATGAGGTTTAAATAAAATAAGATTGCAATATTAATTTCTTAGGACAGAAGTAAGCATTCAGATGTCTGGAAAATGTTGCTCAAAGAAAAAAAAACATTCTTACCAAGAATGACATTTCTGTAATAACGTGAAGGTACATATATTCTCATCACATAGTCTTGTAAAATTTCACACTCAACAAAAGCAGAACAGAATATAATTACTTTAAACATGGGACATTATCACGAAGTCCATCAGATGAACTGCTACTAGTAGATGGATGAGACTGGGGAACTATGGACTGAGGATTGGAACCTGTGCCTGGAGTTGGTAAAGGTGGCACCTGCTCACCATCTGGAGATTCAACATCATTTATTTCATATAACAGACGTACTTCCAGCATCTGTACATGAAAGTAAAAAAAAATTATCAGTAAATTCTGCCTCTCAAAAATCTATATACAAAATAAATTAAAAGCAAATGAAGATACTAGTTAAACTTTTCCATCTTTTAGAAGGTAATAGTAGTTTAATAAACAATTCAACCTAAATACATGCATGTGATATTCAGAAATACAGTCATACTAACTACTACAGAGTGAGTATCTGAAGCTAAAACTTGAAAATCTAACCTATCTCCTAATATTTAAAAGTTTGCTGCTTAATATGGGAAAGAAATTAAATACAAGACTGATTTAATTAACATTCTGTACACCTAAAATTTTCGGTTATGAAGATGACTTTTTATGTAGCTAAGGAATGCTAAAACTAAAAGGAGCGGAAAGCATACAGACAGCTACACTTTATACTGTTGTAGCACTGTACACGTGGACTTAGTTCAAAATTCAATGTTGCACTGAACTAGACCATACATTTTAAAGAACAGCAAGTTTGTGATTTCAGATTTCCTTCTGCTGGGTCTATGACAATATTAGTCTTCATTGTAATGCAGTGTAAAGAAAGTTTTCTGCCGTTTTGTTCTCATCATCTGCAAAGTAAAACTTAACTCATGGACTGAAACAAAGAAGTATTTTTTAAGGCATTCCCAGTGCTGAAGAATAGCTTGCTAGGAACTGATCTGTAGGAATAATTTAGAAAAACTATTCCTTCAGAAGGGAATGTACTTGTACATAAGTAAACACCAGAAGGAAAAAAAGAACCATGTCTTATTTCAAACTGAAACTTATCTGAAGGGGTCAGAAGAAGAGGGGGGTAAGAGGGAGAGAAATAACCAACTTACATTACTATTAATGGTTTACTCAGAACAGACAACATGTTATAATTAAATGGCATCTGGTTAGCTTTCACCTTATACATTCAGGTAAACCTGCATGTGTGTGTCTGATCTAACAAAGGACTTCCCAGACTCTTGTAATAGAGCTCATTATTGTATCTTATACAGAACAAAACAGTGACACATCAAAGTCCTTAATAGGCCTTAGGGCACGTCTGGCATGCTTCTAACTCTTCTGCATAAGTCTTGCCAAGACAGATGGTAAATAGTAGGAATCCAGATTAAAATAATGAAATAGACTCCCTAAAAGCCTTGAAAATTCTTTCACTCCATATCTCATTTACTGCTGTTTTAATTTTACCTCTGATACAGCCAAGTTTTGATTCACTATTTGCTTTGGTAGACAGAACAAAGAACTACTATTGGCTTCAAAATCTGAAAAGGCAAATGCAAACCAAAGTTTTCATGTACGATTTTAACTTTTGCTGAATTTCATAATTTATTGTTTTTCTTCTACAAAAATACAACTCATCATATTGAGGCAATTGGTTTTTTTCCATTTAATTTCTCTAATAAAATGAAAGATAACTATGAACTAAATTGCTACAACAGTCTTATTACAGCTAAATCCTGCAAAGTTAAAAAACGGTTACATTGATTACCGGAATGACTTCTGTCGTCACTTCCTGCTTGCTGAACCTGTAAATAATGACATGTGCAGAAACTCCAGCTATGCACAGCATTCTACTTTCTGGACACCACGAGATGATCTGAATAGCATATGGATCTTCATCCACTATATCTGTGTTTGGCCTGTCATCTTTATTCCGTGATTTTTCAAATACTTTGGCTGTTTTTAGCTTATAGAGTACTTGCAGCGTTACTAGGAACAAACAAAAAGCGAAAAATTAGTTTCGATCTAAACATATTTTTCTTGAGAAGTTTCTAAATTAGAAAAGTTAACTTCGTAGATAAAGCCATTATATTCAACAAAATAGGGCTACGTATAAGCACTGAATATCTGTGGTGACTGTGCCCATGCAGTGCACCACTTGTCCAATACAGGAACAATTAGTACAAAAACCAAAACAAAACACTTTACCTAAAAGATATATACTGAGCTTCAGTTATAAAACTCGAGAAACTGTGAGAGCTTAGTTTAACTATACTTATGGATCTTTCCATAATAACACTCCACCTAGTTACATATGCCATACCCACAACTTAAGCCTACCTATGGCAGAGAAAGCAAAGCTCCTTTCCTTTCTCATTACAGTATTTCAAATCCATGGCCTCCCACCTGCATTCTCAGACTTAACAGCCTCAGATCCTCCAATTTCTATATTGTGCTGTCATATCAGAAGCACCACCCTCTGATCAGTCCACTTTTTTCTTGATAGTATGTTTCCTAGAACTGTTCTAGTGAGGCCTTGTCACAATTTAAAATTGCGAAAGAATGACTCCATTTTCGTTTTGCATATATTCCATTTATCCCAATGATTTTTTTTTTGTGCAACACTGCTACTGCAATCCATTAGTCCTACATTTTTCCCCCCCAGAACATAAATTCCGAGTGTAAATCATCGATCCTGTATTCAAATAAATTGTCTTAGATGCTATTTGAGAATTAGCAATATCATTCCCAACTGTAATTCTGATTTTTTTCTTACATTATTTTTCAACTGTCTTGGTGTTGCTTTCAAACTTTACAGGCATATTCTCTAGTCAATGGCCCAAATCACTGCTACAAATACTAACCATATCATTAGGAAAACTTAACTTAGAGCATCCTTTCTCTTCTTTCATATTTCAGTCATTTTACCTAAATTACATTTCTGTAGCTCATCTGTAAGATTGTGCTATTAGAGAGATTTAAACATCTTAAAATCAAGATACAGGATACCTGCAGCTTCTCCCTTAACAGGTTTATTTATCTGTTTCAGAAAGAAACTAAATGTCTTTAACACGACCTCCTTTCGACAGATCTATGCTGAATAGAATTTTTAAGCACACAGAATCAATCGGGTTTGGGTTTTGTTTTTCTCTCCTCCTCTCCTCCCAGATTACACCCCCACTCCAAACTGAAATTAAAGATTTATAACACTCCACTACTCCTCCTCCCAGTTTTTAAACATATACATTGCATCTGTTCCCTTCCACACCCGCACAGCCCTTTGCGTTTTAGAATCTCAGTCTTCCACAAGTTTTCAAAGACAACTGATAATGATTCCAAGATAGCTTTAGACAGCTTTTAAGTACCAAGAGTAAGGTTAGTCAGAACTAGATGAATTAAATCATTTAACTGTGTAGTCCATTCTAATTTGAATTCTGACTGCATTTCTCACTGTTACCTGTGTAGACCATCAGATGCAACTGACCCTTTAACTGAAGAGAAATATAAAATAGTATCAGACTCTTCAGGCCTGTTCTGTCTTCCACTAAAGAAAACTGTCTTTATTTTACTGTTCTCCTACCTTTCTTCACAAATGCCTAGATCATTTTATTAGCACAAGCTACTACTGGTTCCAATTCTCATTTTTAGACACACTAATTTATGGGGAGCTGATGTCTTATAAACACATGCTTCTCTCCTGTCTAAAAAGACAGAAATAACTTACTGAAATTCAACTGTACTAAAAAGGAATGCATTTGCCTGTCATGTATCTCTATACTCAACGATGTGCTTCTGAAGGTGCTTCTAAAATTTTAGAACTCTTCCATTCTAGCTGGCCCTTGGACTACTACTGCATTCACCAAGGTGGTAAGAACAGTGAAACAATTAAATAAAATAATGTTGATTTTATTTAAATTCTAAATCAAAGTTTCCTATGGATTTACTCTACATGAATAGAAAATGAGAATGACTAGTCTGCAATTACATTCCATTAGAGAATTACCATCAGTAAGTTTAGAAAACTCCTACTGAACAAGAAAAAAAGTCTCTACTGAAAACACTTACTTGCTGAGGCATCCCAAAACTTGATTGACCCATCAGCATGCCTATGAAATATTAAAAATTAATAAGATAGTAAAATGGTTAGTTGGAGTGTTAGACCTCTTTGCTGCTGATTAGAAAATACATGGCTAACATTCTATTTTTATTAGTATTCTTAGTGACACTGTTTTCACCATTTACTGGAAGCCGGTATTATACAAATGTGCCCCAATTACTTTAGACAGAAGAGATTAAAAAACATTTGAACGCTAACTCCCTGAAATTCCACTGTGTTAATACTAACTTACCATTTTAAATACTATTTCAATGACCTGCATTTCCAATAAGCAGTTTTATATACCTTACCATGTGTCATTTCTTAAGATCCCTTTTCTTTGGAGTGACACTTGTAAAGGAGATGCCTAAATATACTGAATTTCAGTGTAAATGAGTCACCTAACTTGTTTATTTATCCTTGAAACTGAGAATCAGATGACTAGATTTTTTCAGGACTGTCTTTCAAAGTCTCCGTAACACGTAGTATAAAGTGACATTAATCCTCATTAGGGTTAATGGGCTGTTCTTAAAAATAAAACTCTAGTAGTGCTCTCACTTTCAGTGATGCACTGCACAGTTATAAGTTAATTATTATTTATGTTCCTTAGAGTAGTATTTCAGGAATCAGTCTCAAAAGAGATCATAACGAGCAGATTCAAGCATTTTGTCCTTTTTGACTTCCCTTTGAGAAGTGAATTCAATAACTATTTAACGGACTTCCTAGGCTTTAAAACACTACTCAAATATCTTCCAAAGTTTAAAGAATAAAAGGTAAGTTTCATCCAGCATATATTGATAGTAACCAGACAATCACAATACCACATCATCATCATCACCCATGCAAAACACCTGCTATCACTTTGTTCCCACTTTCTCTTCTACTTTTTGCTTTACTTTCTTGCTAATGACTCAAGAAGAATATGCAAATGACTTGTCTGGTGCACATAATTTCTTAAGTCATTCAAACCACTGTTAGAGCATTGTTTTCTATAAAATATTACATTACAAAATAATCTCACTTCTACTTTATCAGCTAAGGAATTTTTTATGACACCACAGTGTCACTTACCCTGTAATAATTATCTCTGGATAGCTCTGAGTAATCATACCCCAGTTGCCTCCACTGATAGGCCATTCCTGGAAGATTAACAAATACACTGAGAAATAAAGTATCACACAAGGCAAAGTTAAGTCACTGAAATTACTGCAGATACTGCAGTATGACTCGACTTCAAAAATAATTAAGCATGCGGGGGGGGGGAATCAACAGGGGCTATAAACAACAGCCCCGGCTCCAGGAAGTTCCCTGGCTTCCAGTGATAACCCAGCTGATAGGAGCACATCAGGAAAGCAAGATCATAGGCTTGATATATGTTATGCCCTCTCTAGATATCTGCTCTCAGCTACTGTCAAAGACAGGATAATGATTCAGATGGACCTTTGGTCTTAGTATGGACACTCCTGTTGTCTAGAACCATTTATCCTCAGTATATTCAAATACATCTGTATGTACTAGATGTCATACCTTCTTACTGTAACCTTGACGTTTCTGTCGAGCGCCAACTGAATAAAGTGCAGGTATGAGGTCCACAGGACAATCAGCAAAATATTCACAACAGGTAACTGGAGATTCATGTATAGTCAAAGGATAGGGATTCTCAAATATAGGGTACCTGTAATAGATGAAAGGGAAAATTGTTAAATCTAGGAAAAACTTTTTTTTTTTAAAAAAATGTTGGACACAAGTAAGACACTGAAGACTAAGTTTGCATTATTTTTCTATAGAGGAAAATAGATTCATATCAAATTAGATTATGAACAAATATATTATACAACTGAAATGCTCACCCAGTACACTTTCAAGATCCTGTAGTACCCTAGACGAAACCTGAAGTTTGTACTGTTTCTAGAATATTTCTACAACATCTCTATTCACTACAGCTTTATATTTTTTAAAAGTTTACTATTTTAGTGGCCTGTAGAAAAAGTGGTTACCAAGTCCTAATTGTAGTAATGTGGAGCTATGAATTTATTTCTAAATCTTCAGTCTGTTCTTCCAGAGAGCAATACAGGAAGACTCCACTTCTCATTTTGTATTATTATTATTATGTTCTTAGAAAGCTGCCCAGCACTTTCCATAACTTATTCTCAACTCCAAGATTACTTCCTGAAAGTTAGATAGCAACACCCAGTTACCAATTAGAAGTAAAGACACACATACTCCCCACCACCACCTCCATCAGAAAAGTGACAAAGCCTTAATGAGGAAAAAAGCCAATAATAAAAAGAGGTAAATATATCTGTGTTCAAAGATCGTGTATATCCAGAGAAATGCATACTATGCATACGCATGCTTTTTTTTTGCCCCCTGCCCGCCCCCCCCTTTTTTTTTTTGAGAGGTGAAAAGGGACACAGCTTCTCAACCCATCTAAAGGGAACATGAGCAGCAACAGATCAAAACATTCTGCATACCAATAACTTCATACATAACTATCTGAAAAGTTAAAACAATCTTCTAAAAATTCAATGAAAGAGAGGCTTAATTTTAACAAAATATGAATTTGACACGACAAAAGCAAACCTCCTGTAACAAAAAAAATACATTCTTGTTGTTTTTTTACAGATGTGAAACAATTAAAAATTTAAGTCAATCATAGCAAAGACTATTACAAGTCTTCTAAATACATAACTGCTGAAGATTTTTTTTAACATAAAATGGAACAAGCCCTAACATTAACTCCAAATTCCAGGCCTTGCAAACTATTTAACTTACAAAAAAAGCCTCGTATAAACATTTTTATTTCATACTCAATAAAACTTGTTTTATTAAGCTTTCAACACATGAATGTTGGAAGCTTAATGCCATTGGTATATCAGAAACAAGTTATGGATGCAACATATGGCCATGTAATATTGGGAAAATCTAAATGAAATTGCTCAGTAGCTGCAAAGATATTAGGACTAAACGTCCTTTCGAATACCATAGAGTCTTCACTATCTAAGGTATCACCATTGACTTTGAGGATACATATTTACAGGTTTTTGTTTTGCCTTAGAAGGATCTTCACGATTATTTTCTTCTTCACTGACCACTGGCGACTTTTAATCAGGAACACTACAAACATCTTATCTCTCAGGTTCCTCTACTACTAATCCCTTAATAGTTAATTATTACTGCCCATACTAATTTCAAAACCCTTGATAAAAAAAAATTTGCAGGATCCAGAATTTTTAATCACATCTTAATTGAGTATATGGACTGTTACAAAGTAACAAGAGGCTAAAAATGTCTTAGGCAAGTATTAGTTGTGAAAACCTGTCTGTTTAGTCAGTTGTTCTATCACCCGATGACCCCTCCCCACCCAAGAAGGGGAATCAGCAAAAAGAAAGGAGACTCATGGGTGGAAATGGAAACAGTTTTAATACAATAATAATAAAAACCTAACATTAATACTAATATTAAGTACACAAAGTTCTCATACAGTGGTTGTGAGCTGTGCACTCCCAGCAGTGAATACCAGATGTCAAGTACTGCTAGCATCACAGCTCCAGCAAAAGTGCAATGGTCACAATGAACCAGGGAGCAGAGCAATGGGTGAGATCCCCCAGGGATAATGACCACCAAGGAAAGACAGCCATCCCCAGCAATCTCCCAAATTTATAGTGAGTGGGACATTTATGGTATGAAATACTTGCTGTTGACCAGCTTAGGTCAGCTGCCCTGGCTTTCGCTCCTCCTAGCTTCTGCACCTAACTCAAAACTGCTAAAGACTTTCACAGCTATGACAACCTGCATACCAGGGCTGACCACAAACTAAAACAGTGTCTTATCAACTTTGTTCCCCCTGTTCCCTTCCCCAAAATGCCAAGCTTCTCTCATAGCACTAGGCAATCAACTTCAAAAGAAGCTGATAATCAAAAAGCACCAGTGATCTATGAGTAATTTCTGTTGGTCAATCAAACCTGGAAAAAGTCACATAATCTACTCATCTACCACATATTAACCTGAGAAAAGTTCATCTATGAAGATTCTCAGTTCTGCTGAAGAACCTTACATATGACAGGGAGGTATTATGTCAGACTAAAAGCTATAAAGTAGAACAATAGGCTGACAACTGCAGCCAACCCTTGAAAAGGCTACACAAGATTCTTACCCGTTTTGTGCAAGGTCAATCAGTACTAAGTCCTTTTCTAGGAGAACAACTACAGCATATGGTTCCTGAAAGTCTGAAAACAAAGAAAAAAGTTACTTATTGGGAAATGTAGTTTCTGCATGCAGAGCCTCAAGAATGTGATCAGTCCTTGCACTCTATCAGCTAAGATTAAAACAGCCACTTAAATATCTTCAGAAACTGTGTAGTCATCTTATACACTCACTCTCCTGAATACTCCAAGTTGAGTTTGGAAAAGCCCCACTCCTTTCAATTCAATATTCTCAACTCTCCTCCAATTTGCTAGAATCATTTAAAACAGGTCAAATAACAGGAAAAGGAACATGAAGATGAACTTGTATAAGCAGAATTTTTGAGAAAAAGCCAATTACTGAACAATAATATCCTCTCATCCAAAACTGTTTTTCCTCATATTCGGGGGGTTAAATTCTAATTGCTTACAAAATAGATTAAAAGACAGCTGACTCGATGTTAAAGTAAGAAAACTGAGTGAGTTCCCAAAGTTTATCTTGCCCTTTTGCAGGCCAACCTTAAGTTCTGAGCCAAGCAGTTTTATCTACTCTGATTAAAACTGACAGCTGAAAACACTGGAGTCAGAAATATAATACTATTCATCTGTGACAACTGTCTAAACTATGATAAAAATCCCCTTTTGCAGAAGGGAGATTACAGCTTAGTGATGAACTTCATCAGTATAGGAATGAATAAAGTCACTAGAAGTTAAGAGTACTACACAAATGCTAATCAAGATTCAGCATTGACTCGAAAGGTCTTACATTCTCAAATAAATATTGAACACACCTGCTGCAGTAACTACAGTTTAAAATTGTAATGCTACATTTCATCTGCACGTTTCTGGGATTAAAAAAAGGAAATACCATGTAACCAGTAATCAGCATTCTTCTAGAAGCAAAATAGGTTTTATAATACACTACTCTATTATGATGCTTTGGGAAACAAAACAGACTTCAGACAATGGGGATAACAGATGTTGCTGATGTGGTCTGATCCCCAGAGATAAATCAGAAAGGCAATAGTAAAGAATATTCTGATGGGATAGAAATCCAGAGAAAAGAGGAAGAAGTACTGTGGAAAAAAAAAAATCTTTACAGAGCCTACCGTTAGGATATGGTGTTTCACAGAGGGTTAGAAAATCAACAATAGAATAATCCATTTCTAGCACAGCAGTACTTTTCCCATGCATAACTGTTAAACAGGGTCTTCTTCCTACAGTGTCATATGACAAGCCTCCTGAGAGAATGATGAAGGGCTCCCTGGAATAAAGCAGAGGCATTTAGGATCAAGCTAAGATAATACATAAAAAGTGACTAGCCAGTTTTTGTAGCTTTATGATAAAGTTAAATGAGATATCATTAAGCAGAGTTACATTAAAAATACTGCAAACCAGTTCTCCATGCAATGTGTCATTTGGGTGTGTTTTTCAAAACAAAAACCAAGAGTTAGAAGACTGCAACTCAAGTCAGATACCTCTTCCAAAATTTTTGTACTATCTCAGTTATTTAACCTATCTTTGAACTGTTAGCCAAGATTTTTTTTTTACTAGAATTTAAAATTTTTTCTTTTCTACTGAACTACAGATTCAGATTTGTCAACAGCCCCATTTATACATACGATATTCCAGCAGGATCAGGAAGAAATAGTCCCATTGACTTTCTGTACAGCATTACCCTAAATTTCAAAGGATCAATAATTTTGCAAACAGTGTAATTTTGCAGTCAGAATAATATGACTGTCTTGGAGATGCAAACAGCTGCTTGATAAGCTTCAAAGACCTAACATAATTTAAGCGGCAAGGACATAAATAAATGGTCATACTCTCTCATCATGCATTTAGTCTTAAAGTTTTACCCATTTTTGCCCCTATCACCATGCACAAAAATTCAAGGAACTACTTCTGTGTCATAGACTACTCCCACTGCGTAATTAAACAGCTGAATACAGCAAAGCAAAAACATTTCTTCTAGTCTTGAAAAATGAGATTAGAGGCTTCCCTTCAAAATTTGTAAAGTCTTCAGACACTTTTAAAATACATTCACATTTTTTCTCCAATATGCACATAATACACAGTTTAGTGTTTCATTTATTGAAAAACAAGATGAGATACATTCATTTTACCAGGTATTTTCTTTTCAGCTATCAAGCCACTCATTTTAATACTGTTTATTATATGTTTAAAATAGAGCGTAATACCTTTTAAAGAACAGATTGACCATTTATAAGCATGTAGCTAAGGAAATTTCACCCATTATTGACTACTGTCTCAAATTCCAGGTTATATTTCTGGAGTAAAAACAGGCACTTAGAGTACGAGATTTCTCTGATCTACTTTTAAGCTCACTTTAGGTAGGATTTTTACCCTTTTGTTTGTGTATACCTTGGAAGCTAGTATGTCATTATCTAGAGAAAATTTCTAGGGAAATAATCCCCACATCCCGACATACTGTGAAAATAACAGAAGATATTTGAACAACAGAAGAGATCCTTTACGTTGTCTTTTCCTAGAACATCATCTTTCCCATACTGTCTAAATGCCTTTCACTAGTTAGCATTTGAAGCACAAATATGACAGATTAGGTACATCTTCTTGAAAACTGCTTTAAGGGCTAAGTTGAAGTATATGCTGCCCTTTGAGTTTAAGGCTTGGCTGAAATGTACCTCTGTGTGTAGCCTTGAAGACAAAGAAGAATGCAATAAGTTTTCATTTTCTACATTTCACAATCTGCCTGCTCCTTCAGAAAGCCTTATGACTAGAGAGTTGATAGGACCAGAGTTCTGCTGGCTGAGGACGAGACTTCAAAGGAATGGCCATAATTTAAGACCATGGGTCCACAGAGTTCAATATCCTACCTTTAACAGTAGCCAAAAGTCTGTTTCTAGAAAAAGACTAAGTTTTCCTCCAAGTTTTCATTTAACATCAACTCTTCATATGGGAACTTCACACAATCTTTTATGGTAAGGTCCATGAAGTAATTCCAGGAAAAAGGACAAAATTTAATGTAACCTGATATTTTTCAAGATGTCAATGAAGAGCAAAACACTGGTATGATGTACTTGCAGTATCTCATTGTGCTGAAATGATTTATTGCAGTATTTTTTTGTCTTCACAAAGTCATTAGTTTTCGTAAACAATAAGGCTGCCAGGACAACTTGCAGTAATTTTTAGACTTGTGGGTTCACCAAGATAACTGACAATAACAAAGCAACAAACTTCAGTTTCTAAGTTTCATCCATCACAGTGAAAACCGCATGCTGTCTTCTCCTGGTGTTATTTCTCAGGGTAATCAGGTTGCTTTGGGCAGGTTTGCCAGTCTGTATCCTTATGAAGCAAAGAGTGGAAGAACTAAGAATAGATTACATAGATCTGTCACACATATTTTCCACAGATGATTTAAAGATTAAAGTTGACTTTAATCTGCCAGAAAGACTAATACAGGTTTGTGTATGAACTTTCCATATTTTCATAAAACCATTGATTTACCACAAACACAAGCTGTGCATTTTCTAATTAAATAGTTAGTGTTGTCCTTCAGTCGTGATACATATTAAAAGGTTAGTGCATATGAATGTTAAATAAAGTATAACTTAAAGGAAAAATTTTAAAATACGTTACATAATAGATTAGATTGATCCAAATTTGATCGTTATATTTTACCTACAACAATGGAAAACATTTAACAAAAAGCAGTGCTCAGCTCTTAGAGAATTGCTACGTAGCATTTTTAGCAGCTGCTAATATAGAGGTTCTTCTTTGAAACAGTTCTGCTTCAGCAGGTATGGAAGCAACACCTTTGCATTAATTTACTCATCAGTTAAATCTGTAAAATCTCTTGGGGAACATTATAAAAAATTCACTGCAAAGGGGAGCAATGCTTCATTGAAAAAATTCAGAGGACACAGCATTAGGTCTTGCAGGGTATGAAAACGTAATACAACTGAGATCTGAGTGGCTCACAACCCTGAAGGATATTTCTGTTTAATTTTAGAAGGAAACTGTCAAATGTCAGTCAGCTTCTGGCAATCTGGACGTGAGAGACAACAGCATATAGAGAAGTCATGCCATTGGCACCAGTTGGCTTACTTTTCAAATCATAAGTGAATTTGTCAAGAAGTTAATCCCTAGTAATAAAAGGTGGAAAAATTTTTAAGAGTTAGTTTAGCTTATGACTGGCAAATCTTGAAATAGTAGTGAAGATAAATTACAAATTCATTTTGGGGAGTGTGCTTTTGAACCAACCAGCTCAAAAAACAAAACAGTACTAGTCAAACTGAATTAATAGATCAAGAACTTTTACTTATCTGGAGACTTCATTGTTGTCATAACCTCTGGGTCCAAAATACATGTGTTTTTCAGATACATATGAAGTTACTGCTCTACAGTTGTCAATGACAGCTGCATTAGCTACCAAGACAATACCCTTTTTGATTGTTTTACAGGGAGACTTTTGAGCTGTAGTTTCAATTATACAGAGCTCTAGTAGCAAAGATTAAGCCTGAGTGATTTTACCATAATGCCAATATCAACCAGTGTAAATACTATACGGGACTGAATCTAAAAGAAGCTCAAGAGCTTCTCTAGATTCACTTCAGACAAAAGCATAAAAGGCAACACAGAAACCATTTCAGCAAGCTCAGAAAGTAGCTACCTTGGAATTCATCACGTCACAAAGAGATGGACTACTTTAAATGAACTTAAATGTCTGGAGAACAATGACATTATGCTCTGAGATTGGAAAGTTATGTCAGTTTGCTCAAGGAATATACCAAGAACTTGCCTTTTAAAACTCCTTAGCTCCAAGTACAGGATGACTGTCAACAGTAACTTTTCTATGTATATTCTTCTAGAAATAAAGTTACATACATACTATTGTTGTAGGGTAAACAACTTTGGCTTTGGAGACTTCACAGGCACTATCTGCAATATACTTAGAAACAAGAAAAACCCAACAACAGGAAAAAAACCCCAAACTTAGATGATAAATAGGTACCCTGTGAGAATGAGAAAAATTCTCCTGTTCTCCTGCTTCCCTAACTCCAGCTTCACAATAGAGAAAAAAAGTGAGACGGTATTAACAAAAGCTACAACAATAGAAAGAGCCTCTACTACAGGCTACAATCAGTTATGTTCCCTCCTTCTGTGTGGTTCTGAAGATCTTTCATTTAAAAAAAGTTTTAGAATTAGAGGAAGTAAAGAAAACTAGTAAGATCACATCAATGAAGTGTTTTCCACATGAGGAGATACTGAAACAAAATTAGATCCTAGACCACTCTATGTAAGGGAGAAGAAAGATGGGGTGACAAAGTTAGAGTTCCATATAGAGCATGGAAAAAGTGAACATGGAAGAGTTACTCAGTTTTTCACAATAAAAAAAAATGAAGTAACAAATACACCTTAAACACTACCTCTTAAATATGTTGTAAGCTTTCTAGTTGTGTTATCTTTTATGGGTTTTTTGTTTGTTTGTTTTTGAAAAACAGAGCAGACTTCCACAGAAGCAAGTTTATTTGATTTTCTTCTTATATTCTTTCAGTAGCTAGAAAAAAATTTTGGTCCTGACCAGGAACTATTCTCCTCTGTGCTACAGAAATTAAACCCTGAAAAACACAAGACCGCGCTTTAACTAAAAGTCAAAATTCATAATAGAAGGCTTTTCATTGCAGAAATTGTAACTTGCTGAAGCTGAGACTACTTCTGGCTATCTGTATCTTTCTTTAGACCAGCTCTTAGTGTTTCTCTGGAAAGGAATATGCAGACAGATGTAGACTGCTGCAAGTAAAATATGGCTTCCCAACTGATCATAGATGTCCATACATACGGGAATCAGTTATCATCTTAAATTTCAATTTACCTCACTTTTAGCAAACAACAAAAATACACAAAGTCACTGATGTATGTATGGGGATACCAATATATAGTAGAAACCTGTATTACATCAATTCTGTATTACATTAAGTAATCTTCTATACATTTGAATACCTGGAAAGCAAGTGAAAAGAATATATAAATCCCCTCACAAAAGTCAAAGAAAACTTAAAAAAAATATAAAAAAAAATTAGTGTTGGCAAATAGCTGAACAGGTTTCCATTAGTATTTTATCTTTATATTGCAGTTTTTACTCAAATACTTAAAGTGCTTTGCAACCATAAATAAAAAAAAAATCTGTACAGTTCATGAAATCCTTCAATCGTAATTTCAGTCTTTGTAACAAAACATGCTACTCAAGACACTAATTCCGTCTGAGCCTCTTGTTGCAATTACTGCTTTGTTACATTCTCAATGTGCATAATTAAGCACAATTCACTGCATAAATTACTGCACAATACCAGAAAAGCATTTGTCAGATTTTTCTGGGAAGAACACATGTTCAGAATTTGGAATATTCCTATTCAGCTACTATTTGTCAAAGTTAAGTTTTTCAGATCAGTGCTTTGGTGTCTTCTGTGTTTTAATCAGCTTTTTTTTTCTTTAATATTCTCAAAAGACTGAGCAAAAATACACAAGTTCAGTAGCATGGAAGAAGCATATAGATAATACATTTGCAGTACCTTTTCCTAAGTTAAGGTCTCTATACATTGATTTGTTCATATAAGTTCTTGCAGTTTGTTCAGCATTATCTGATTTACCAAAACTATTTCAGCTGGTTTACCATAGCTCAGTGCCATCAGGACATATAACCCAACAACTGTGAAACAAAGTACATTCCAAGAAAGATGCATTTATTTTATATATGTTAAATTGCATACAAAGAAAGTCTTACCCAGCTCTAGTTGTTTTATATTCCACCTTAAGGATAGGTTTGCAAGGTTCTGGCTTCTTTCCATCCTTCAGCTGCTTTCCTAAAGTGAATTATTTTCTTTTATTAATCTTACAGTTCCACAAGACGATGACAAATTATGAAATTCACTATGCAACTTGCAAAGTAGAACATTTAAACAAACAACTATTCAACACCTGTGACAATTATGGAGTATGCCTAGGAATATCAGCATTAAAGATCTGTTAAAACTCTCAATATACCAACCAAAAAAAAATTAGGTTTAGGGGGTGTTTGAGGTTTTAAGTATGGTAGAATATTTGTTTTCAAAAATATAAACCTCCCTTTAAAAAGTTGTTTTAAGTAGCACTGGGAGATTTAAAACTTATCTTGTGTCTCTTGTTTTGCAGTTAAAATTGATCAGGTTACAAGTAAAATGAGGTTTATTCTGAGTGTTACCCTTATAGGCTATGACTTGAATTTGAACATGAAAGCTCACTTTTTCTCTACTTTGCACTAATAACAACTAAAGCTTCTACAGATACTACTTCCCATGGAGTCAGTAGAAATTACGAGTACAGTGTAAATACGCATCTTTTCTGTCTGAACATTGATAAAGCAATGATACAGCTAAAAAGTTCTGCAGAAAATTTAATTCGCAGCCCAAAGTCAAACTAGTTTATTAAGAGGTCAAAACATATTTAAATAAAGTTAGCCTTGTCTAATAGGTTTGTGTAGAAGTTTGATAGGTTTTTGTTACTTTTTTTTGTTGTTGGGCTTTGTGTGTCTGTTGTTGTTTGACTGCTACAGGATCACAAAAATCTACAGCTTCCTCTTTCTACCCTAGTCCACAGCCAGCACAGTAAACCATGGACTTTCTGAAGGCTCAGACAAGTGAAGCAGGATGCTTCACTATAGCATCTTGTACAGATCAGTGTAACCTCACAGATTATCCTCACTGTTACATTCACACTTCAGAATCTGAGGTAGGTAAGTTGCTAAAATAAGACAGACACATGCACACCATGTAAACCTGGCATTTGTATAGAACTTTTTTTGAAGAGCAACAGCATATTTCACAGAAGAACAACATGTAATGTTAATTTCCTAGATTAACATTAATGCAAGACTTCAAAAGTGGGAACATCTTACCAGATGCCAGACTTACTCTGTTACAGACTTTTCCAAGAATTTCTATGGTAATCTACACATTTATACATGAAACAGATGCTTGCTTGTGTGTATTTTAAACAACATATAGGACTGTAATCTCAAGCAAAAAGCCCTACAAAATATGCATTAGTTAATTTTGAGATCATTGCCGTTGTATGAAAGGCCATCTTAAAATTCAGAGATTTATACAAAACTGCACTGATCTGAAGTCTTATTTCATAAAGACTGGTTTGTTTTTTTTAATTAAGTCTATCAGTATTTGATATGAGAGGAAGTTTTTTACTTGCACTGCAAGTGCATTTTTAATACTTGGTTTTACAAAACAAACTTCTATTAAAAACGAGTTCTCTGTTTTAAGAGCTGTCAAACACAGAGTGCCCATTTTCATCTTACCATGTGGAGTGATTGTCTGGAATGGTTTGGTAGGAGATTTTACATTCCATATGGTCAAGGTACCATCTGAGTGACTACAAATAAATTGTTTTCCTTCATGATGCCAGGCCACAGAGTGGATAGCCTATACAAGAAAAGAGAAAAAAACAAAATGTAAGTTGAGTATTGTAGTATCATTTTGTCCTTGCTCCTTCCTCAGTGACATTAGACAGCAAAAGGAAATAAGATAAAGTGCTAATTAAACCATACTGCTCTTAGTATGTCCTAATTTATCCACAATAAGTTCTCTTCGTAAGTACTTTTCAGACATACTTCATCCATCAAAAATACTGTCTTTATTATAGTGACAAGTTTAAAAGGGAAAAAAGTCCTCCTAAGAGTGTAGTACTGAAGCATTTTTCAACAACATGTAGCATGCAGAGAATAACTAGTAAGCACTTCTTTGAGCTTTGCTAATCAATGTTTTTTATTATTGGGAAAAACACACTGTCCATACAAAATAAAAATCTACTCTATGGTATTATTAAGTTAAAGTTACAAAGGCAGTTTGAGATGTGTATATGGATATGCACAGGAGACAATCATGGGCTTAGAATGCAAGTAAAATGAGAACTGAAGTAATGACAGGATTTTTTGGAAATTATGAATGATGATGAAAACAAAATACTAGCTTGAATAAGCATTATCATGTTGCAGTGGAAGTTTTGAAGTAGAGGAAAGTGTAAGACTATTAGTAAATCTTTCCATGAATACAGAAACATCTCTATATTAATAAAATTAGGAATGGAATGATTAAGTAATGCCACATGAAATCTTACTGTAGAAAAAGGCTGACTAAATGAAGTCTAGTTGCTGCCTTGAGGTGAGAGAAAAGCAAATGAAACAAAGAGTACAAATAAGGCAAAGAGATTAACTAGTAAGAAAAGATTGGTGCCATTTCTGTATCCAGCATCTCTATCAGTACAGGGAGACATTACGAAAACCCCTTAGGTGATGTTCAAAGGAGTTTTAGTTACAGCATGAGAATACCAAACAATGAAAGAAAGTATTTCTGTACTATCCAAAAGGTGCAGAAGGAAGTATTACCTGCTAGAAGTTTGGAACTTTGATATTACTGAGAAGGTAGATTTGTTTAATACTTATGGTAAAGACATTAATCTAGGTAAACTGAAAGCAGGACCTGAATATGTCAATGCTGACGGGCTGTAAAATACCATCTTTTGAGTAGACATGCTCAGTAGACTGCAACTTGTCAGGTACCTAGGGATTTCTGAGTAACGTGATCTAGTAACAACATCCCTGGTTACTGCAGGGGGGTTGGACTAGATCTCTAGAGGTCCCTTCCAACCCAATACATTCTATGATCCTATTATTTCCTCTGTGAGGAAACCTGGGTGTGTGAGTAGTAGGGAAGCCTAACTAGCAGTAAATTACAAAGTGAACAGCAGATCACACAAGACAGATCTAAGCTAGCTTTGCCTAAACTGATTATACACAGAGCAGCTCTTCACTTTTCATGAAATTATACCGAAAAAACAAGACAGTTTCCAGCAATATGGTGGTTAGAATCCAGAGATTAGATAGAGGAAAACGACTACACTACGTGAGTGGAGTCTCCAGTAATAACTTTTCTCACTTAAAGCAGCAGAAGATCTGGGTAACTACAGACTAAGTTCAGTATTTCCTAGTGAAATTTAATCTTGTTCCCTATGTATTGTGCAATCACTATAGATTTTGCTGGAAGACAGATTCAGTGTACTAATATTGCACCTACACATATGTAGCTCAGAAACATAGACATCTCACATGAAGTCTCCAAGAGGCAAAGTGAAATGCTCTTGCTCATTCTGTCTGTAAGACAAATTTTTATTTAGGAAAGAAACTCAGGTATTAAAGGAAATTTTGCATAAATATTCATTTATTTTTTATGTTTACCAATGAAGTACCAAACAAAGTCAGGAATCAGCAAGTTTGAAAGTGCAGACTTTGCAAAACAAAGGTTGCATTTCAAAAAACTCCTTTCACTAAGAAATTATCTATACTATAATTATCAATAAAATGTAATAAGTATGTTTTTAATACTGTCCCAAGCGGAATCTAACTCTAACAAAAGTAGGCAGCCCTTGTTGATATACACAAGTCTATGGGGGTGAAAACTGAACAGTTTTTGATACATATTTATGCAGAAAGAGGTCTTAAGGACCAGTAAGAAAGCTTTCTATATGGGTAAATCTGAGAAATGAACAGTTCTTCCTTTCCTTAAAAAAAAGTCAAGAGGAAGAAAATTCAACTGCCCATTACTGTTTAAATGGCATTACTGCTTATGAACATAAAGAGATCTGAAACTGAGCACAAAGAAGAAGAATGACTGCTATCAGAATTTCTGCAAGAAACCTGATGGGATGTAAAGAATGCCGAAAGAATAATGAGGCCTTTGGCTTTATGCCTATATTGCCTAGTTTTAGAGAGCATCTGGTTACATTTAGCAATGCAGCTAAATATTATTTGCAGCATAACAAAAATACATGTCTTATGTATTTTTAAAATAGCCCAAACTTAACAATTCTATGGACTGAGTATGGTAAACTTTGGTACAGAGCACTATCCTTTGCAATTACACAATTTACAACCTTTTGTAAGCCTGAAAAATAAAACCAGACCTGTTAGTACCTATAGCATAATCTCTAGAAATACAACAGGATAGTATATCTACAGTGACAAGTCAGTTACAATGAAAAACAAACCAATAACTTTAGGTGGCACTAGTTGGTTGATATAAATAGCCTCAATCACCAAAACAAAATCAGTAACTGAAAAATCATCCCAACACTCAAAAGCAAAAGCTTTGACATTTTTTCCATAGTTAATGTTAGAATATGAAGGAACGCTAACATCCAAGATAGAAAAATGAGGCAGAATCCAGTAAGGTTGCAAATCTATACTCAGCTTCTTAAGATACTAAGAAGACCCCAGGAGTAATATATTTTTTTTAGTATTTTACACAGCTTACTGATCCAGAAAAAAATTTAACGTTTTAATCATAATTCTAACTTTGATTTAAAACTTCACCTGGTACCCTTTTGGTACCGTAATGCAGCAGTATGGTCAAATCAGCTGGTACTGATTTAACTGTCTTAAATGTTTTAGTGGAATCTATCACTGGATATAGGGATTCCAAACAGACAGTAATACTTTAAGACAAGATCATGCACTAGTACCACAGACGACTGCTGCCATATTTAAGGCACAAAGTGATTGTATACTTAAGAGGTACCTGTCTGCACAGATAACCCAAGTCCTGACCTCACTAACATTCTGAATCCTTGCACTTACAAAGATGCACCAAATACAGATAATCTTTACAGGAACTTAGAGAATGCTCTTTAACACACACACACACACACAAACCACCAAACCCCAAAACAACCAACAAAAAAACCCCACCAAATACCTTTAAATTTACATAATTGTTATAACTAAATCTTTCTTATTAGAAATATTCTTACTACCCCCTTCACTTTGATTTTAAGTTAATGTAGCTGTCCTAGACTATATGGAAATTTGTTTCAAAACTTCTCAGACGGTTCTTTCTTGGGGAAAAAAAAACCCCAACCAAATCTTACTTCTTAAATAACAAACCTAGCCTGATTGACTGTGCTGCCCTACATATGCCAAAACTTCACCAGAAATCACAGAATCACAGAATATTCGAAGTTGGAAGGGATCTCGAATGATCATCCAGTCCAACCCCCTGCCAGAGCAGGATCACCTAGACCAGGTCACACAGGAACATGTCCAGGTGGTTTTGAATGTCTCCAGAGAAGGAGACTCCACAACCTCTCTGGGTAGCCTGTTCCAGTGCTCTGTAACCCTCACAGTAAAAAAGTTTTTCCTTATGTTCAGGTTGAACCTCCTATGCTCCAGCTTGCACCCATTGCCCCTTGTCCTGTCATTGGCTGTCACTGAGAAAAGCCTGGCTCCTTCCTTTTCACACTCGCCCTTTACAAATTTATAAACATGAATGAGGTCACCCCTCAGTCTCCTTTTCTCCAAGCTAAAGAGATCCATCTTCCTCAGCCATTGCTAATAAGGGAGATGCTCCACTCCCTCAATC